ATGTATATTATTGATTTTAAAACCAAAAAAAGGTTTATTTTTATTTCTTTTCTTTTCGAAACTAGTGACATAATGAATTTTCCGAAACCAGTTTCATAATGTTCAACATTATGCAACTGGTTGCGTAAGATCATTTTGCACTTGCTGCGATTACAAAAAAAATGTCACTTTATATGGGCAAATTAGAAAAAATCATTTTTGGTTACAAAGTAAGATCGAGTAAAAATATAATAAAGTCATAATGGACATTTTTCTTTAGGTTTACCTTTAAAATTTAAAAATACAACAAGTTTACATCAAATTTCAAGTCCAAAGTTAAGAAATGTGAAATTATAATCACATATAATCAGCTATATCAACCTAGAGTGGTGAAAAATCCCCATGCCAATCAATAAAAAATCACTAGAAATTCATAAATTACAAATTCATTAACATGGGAACACTGGGTATAATACTTCGTTTATAGAATTTTCCTGGTTCCGATTTTGAACAATGGTTAAAACTAACCAAAACTCAACAGGTGCCATTCAGAAGACCCAACAAGTCACCATACTCAACTGTTGTGTCCAGTGTTGCCAGAATATATTTTTATAATGTACCAGATTTCACAAAAATGTACTAGATTCTATAAAATTACAAGATTTTTTTAATTATGAAGTATGGTAATTAAAGAGCGAACACAACAATTTTTAACAAAATTTTATCTCTCGACAAATTTCTGACACTATTTTATCTCTCGAGCAGTTTTTAAATAAGATTTTAATACCTTTTGATACTCTTTTATCTCTCGAACAGTTTTTACATTTTTTTTTATCGCGACCTATTTTGAAACAATATTTTATCTCTCGAGCAATTTTTACATTTCAAATGGAAACATACGCTGAAAAAAGTACTAGATTTTGTTTCGAGTGTACTAGAGTACCAGATTCTCAGAGAATGTACTAGATCTAGTACAATTGTACTAGACTGGCAACACTGGTTGTGTCTGAGCACGCCCAATATATGACTCGAGTGTAGAGCATACTTAATCAAATACGAATTAATCCCAATCTTTAAATAAAAAAATTATATCTCTATTTTTAAAACATCAAAATAAAAACGATTTAAACCAATTATTACTTTGGTGTATGAAATAAAATACAAAATACTAAAGCTTTTTACGCGTTAACAACGCACGGAGACTTTTTTGGTATTTTTTTTTTGTTCTTATTAATTAGGTTATTTTGTAAGAGTGGGAATAATCTACGTCCACGATGAATCACAAACAACTTCTTTTTTGAACAGAAATAGTGTGGCGAGCCTTAATTATATGGAAAACAGGAGGGACATTGGTTTATTTTTTTATAATACTTCTCGTTGCACATATTTATAGCATATAGTGGAGTGCCGAAGGTCTCCAATTTGGGACCCTTCCTTTTTTTTGAGATTTACATTTGGCGATCCTAAAATAAAAAAAAAACAGACTTAGGGATTGTGTGAGTTTACAAAAAGATATAGACAACATAAATGAATAGTATTCAATACAAAAAAATGTAGTAGTATTACAATAAGTAGATTGAAAAATCGTGTTATTTTTTATTATCTTATAAATTTAGTAGTCTTAGTACAATGTACAGAGGTATAAGACTTAGGTATCATTTATGTTGTGTTCTATCATGTAAAAAATATAAGTTAAGGTTGCAAATAGAATGCTGGGATTCATAGTTAGGCAAACTAGAAGTTTTACTAACATAGAATCTATAAAAATTCTTTATTATGCTCTAGTTAGACAAAAACTTGAATTTGGAGCTGAGGTATGGATGGGGGGACATCCAACTAATCTATATGAGACTGAAAAAATACAAAATAAATTTCTTATGTATTTTTATTTCAAAAAACTATATATATACCCAGACTACAATCTTGTTAGAACTGCAAACTTAAAAAAAAAAATTATAATCCTTTCCCTTCACACCAGAAGGAATATGATAATGTTGACTTTTTTATATAAAATTGTTAATTATAAAATAAACTCACCTGAGCTACTATACTTAATACGATTTAATGTACCTCCATGTATATTTAATATCCGATTGGCAAATAATATTAATACTTGCATTGATGTAGACTGGACATTACCGTTTAATATGTTCCGGAAACTTTTATTTGATTATTACTCTTAATTAATTATTCCATTGATCTTAATTAATTTTAATACTGAATAAGTTGTTATATTAATTGTAATTATCTACTGTTGTTATTATTATTATTTATGTATTATGATACTTTGGATACAAATAAATAAATATCGTTGGTATAAATAACAGGTTGATTTCATAGATTTTTTTATCAATCTTAAGTTGGCTGTTAGTCCAAAAAAAGAACAAAAAATAAATCATATCCCTTATTGTGTCTAACTCCTCTTAATGAAGAATATTTTAATGCAATAATGGCTTTATTTATGTATTTATTTATTTATTAAACGGGAAACCCCCCATCACAAAATATAAACTGTATGATATAATAATGGTTATGTCAACATAAATTTAACAAATCTAAATAAGTAATTCTAGAAAATATAGGAAACCGTCTTATCAAAAATAAAAAAATCACAATATTAATACTAGTGTACAATGACAATATTTCAGTGCCTACTGCCTATTCAATAGTGTTTATATTGCATCAAAGTACCCTTAAACACTTCAAAAAGGGTTATTAAAAACATCCAATCTATCCTCTCTATTTAAAAACTCTAGAGATCTGCCCATAAAAGAATGTCTACCATAACTTGTCCTATGAAAAATTATTTAGCGTTCTTTGTGGCACTGCAATTTTTATTTCAGACAGCAAAGATGGATATGAGATAATACCATTTAATATTTTATAAATGAGAGAAATATCATACATAATTCGTTTATGTAGGATAAGAGAATAGTCATGATCAGCAGTAAGATCCCTGTTAAACCTATTATTAATGTATCTCAAGAATTTATAACATTTTCCTTATAAAGGTATGGCGACTCATTGTTATCATCATTAATTGATAGATTCTCTTGTCTTCTTTGATAACTCGTTGCAATTTAATTTTTAATATTCCCTTGAAGGTCAATTATTTTACCATATTGAAAATTCTTTTTTTTTTCTACACCCATATGTAAATTATCTATTCTACACAAAAACTACAGAACGAAAAACTCGTTATTGTGTTCTACTAAACGAATATATTTTGTATCCATTCTAAAACAGAAGTTATACAAATTATACATTCACTAAAAAATAAAAGAGCTCCAGGAATGGATAACAAGGGCAGAATATGTTAGGGAATTGCTGAAGATATAGCTGTTCTTTTAACTTACTTGATGAATGAATCCTATAGCACGGGAGAATGTCCAATAGCATTTAAAACAGCAGTAATAATGTCCATTTATAAAACGGCAGATAAGCTAAATGTGACTATCGACTAATATCACCTCTAAGTTGGCAAAAATTTTTGAAAAATCTCTAGCACATCGAATAATTAACTATTTAAATAATTATAATATAATGGCTCCTAATCAATTCGGTTTCACTGTAGGTAAAAGTACAAAATATAGAGAATAAAATCCCAACATTATGTATATTTGTAGATGTAGCTAAAGCATTTGATACTGTTAGTCACGTTAGTCGCATAGTCGGAATTATTTGAAAGCCATTGCAGAAGAAGATTTTTCGAAAATAATAAAATGGATGGATAGCAGGTTACTTACAATAAATAACAGTAAAACTTTTTATGTTTCTTTTACTTCATATTCCAGTTACATACCTGAATATAATATGCTAACTGGTATATAAGATAACTCCGTTATCGATATCGGACAGGTACTAAAAATAAAATATATATGCGCATTTAAAAACTAAGATTTGTGGCTTATACTAGAAACAACACAAAGATATATTCTTCAAATGTTATTTAAAAAATCTAGATTATTCCCCACGGAACTTTTATATCAGGAAATAGGCGTAAATGATATATGACAATTGTTTTTTCTGAACACTCTATAGACAGCATTCAAACAAAAGGAAATTAAGAAATATCGACCATGACTATGACACAAGATATAAAAAAATTCAAACTACGTACCTAGAAATCAAATACATACTTACATTGAAACACACCTGTATAAAAAAAGTATATAAATATAAAAATAATTATTTAATAAGTATTAAAATTTGAATGAATTATTGTATTATTAATTAGCTGTAATTAGCATTAAGTATACGCATAGGCTAGACCTTCTGTGTGTTTCTCATTATTTATTAACACTATGTTGTTTTTGCGAAAACACATCTGTAATTTTTTTGCTGTTGCATAATAAATAATATTACTTTTTAATATTTTTAATTCTAATAAGGACAGTATACAGATATCAAATCCACCAATTACGGTTTATATTTGATGACCATGTTACTATTATTTTTTAACATTTTTAAATGAGTGACAATTCTGTCAAACAAATTGTCATTATACTTTTGAGATTAAATATAATAAAAAGTGAGCGAGTCTTGTGGAAAATCGATAATCGCATTCCACAAGATATTCCTCTATATTTACAAATAATGTTTAAATTTTAATAGAACCATCTAAAACCAACTTAATTATGATAATAAAAAAGGTTGTTTCAGTAACGCACAGGCAAAGTACTACTGAAATGAAGATGAATTGAATTTTTTTTTTAAGTTAAGTTTGGAGATTTTTGATAGTGGGTTGTAGAAAAAATATACTGTACAACTTGAGTGGATTCGTATTGCACTGAGATGATTAAGCACTCCACTTACGGCGACGTGCACAAACTTCGTCTTTGAGCAGTTTGGCAATCATATCCACTTTTGTTGCACAAACTACTATTGTTAGCAGTATTAGATAGTTAGAAGTTTGAACAAAAAATTTAAATTATTAAAACAAAAATACAGCACCAAACAAATTGCAAGAATATTCATATTTATTCTTTATTGAAGAAGTGTATTTGCTGAATTATTTTTAGATTAATTGGCAATCATGCTCAAACCAAGCTAGAAAACAATGGAAGAATCTTTTGGTTTAACCTGGGAGGATTCAACCACAGTTGTTCAGACTGAAGAGGTAATTTGTGGTATTGAAAATGAAATCATCCCAGCAGAAAGCGATGAATTCGTCCAAGAGGAAATGGTTAGTGAAGAGGTGGTAGAAACTGAAAATAAAAGTGATGAAGTTGTTGAATTACAAGATGGTGTTCCAGATATACAAGAAACGCAGGTTAGTTATAGCAGAAGTAGAAGTTGGAAAGGCTTTTGCCAGTTCTCCCACTTTATACACATAAATTGACTTAGATTAAACAGACTAAAACAGTCAAATTTTTTTGTATTAGTGCATTTTAAACTTTACCACGTATAAAGTACTCTAGCAAAATGTTACTGTTCATATTTCACTGGAGGTCGAAGAAATAATTGTTAAAGTTGAAAAATTGATGTCCCATGATGTGTACTAATAAATACAGAGAATTTAAATTGTGTTGCCAAATGTCCCTTTTCAGTATCTTCTGAACTCAGGTTCTGTTTTTCATAAGAAGGCTGTGAGATTATTAGCCAAAGCTGGTTATACCTTTATTTATTGACCTCCAAATATTAAGACTGACTAGCCTATTCATATTAGAAGTAGTGAGCTTAATTCATAAACATAATTTAGGTGTATCATCTTTGCCAAGACAATACACTACTTGGCAAAACAACTTGATTCTTCCAATTCCTCACTCCATTTTGATCAGAAATTCAATTATCTATGAAAGATCCAATGATATTTATTCACCTACCCAATTCTTTAAAAATTATTAGGTCTTATTCATTATTTAGAACTAAGTTAAAAAAACGACTGTTTCAAATATCTTACTTTAACCTACAGGAGTTCTATAATGACAATATTGATAACTGATAATTGATAAAAATTGCATATTTTAAATATTCATTTTATTTCTTAACTTTTTACTCTAGATTTATTTATATTTGAATGCATGGTCAATAGATGATTGATTGATTGTGTGTTGTAGGAAAAGTGAAATAGAAAAAGAATTAGCTGTCTGTTCTTTATTTTAACAATTCTGCACAATGCTTCTCGTACCGTAATTATTATGAATCCTGGCAAATAAATAAAAAGGAAATAAATTCGTGACTGAAATCAAATGTATCAATTCCAGTGACATTCCTGTTGAACTAAATTTAAAAATAAATGAAAATATAAAAAAAATTAAATGGCTAATTATTTTGATTTTACAAAAGGAGGTACAAGAAGATGTAGGCATGGAACGGCTTATGTATCTATCCGATGGTAACGTTCTTGTTGTTAACCAGCAATCATCTGAACCTCAATTCGAAGAACTAGAGGAATGTCAAGTATCTGAAGAAATTATTACTGGAGAATGGGAAGATAATTGTGCTGAAGAAATAGGTAAATTATATAGTTAATTCATAAAAATTAATTTAATAACTTTACAATTTTCTGCTGTGTTTAGTGATAAACAAAAAAATATTTTATATTACTACTGTATCTTTTATTAATAAATATTGCAAAATATGAATACTATGAGGAGACGTTTTTATTTGACATGTCTTCAATTATCAAGCCACAAAATTTATAACAATTTTATTTAGTCATTGGTTTTTTTTTTCTAATTTTAAAAATTATTTTGAAGTTGTTGGCTCAGAGGAAGCTATAGGTACAGAAGAAATCAACCAGGAAGATTTTGACATACCTCTACCAACTGATCAAGATGAATATACAGCAGCAAGACCTTATCCCTGTGACTTTTGTAGTCGTAGATTTAGAAAGAAAGCGAATCTCATGAATCATATGGTAGCACATCAGACAGACAGACCTCATGGGTGTAATTTATGTGGTGTTCGATACATAAGAAAATGTGATTTGATGAATCATCTGAAGGTAAGAGATTGAATGCAATATTTTATACCTGTACTTTAGAACTAAAATTGTAATATCCATTTTACATTCAGAGGAAAGAGTTTTGTAGGGTACTATAGTCTGTTTCACTGCAGGCTTGCAGTACATTAGGGACATGTGTTTATATTTGGTGAGGCAGGAGAATAATACTTTATGAACTAAATATTTTTTTAAATAATATAATATGCTTAAAAGAGAATAGTTGGGTACAGTTTTTTGGACTTTGTCAATAAAATAAATAAATTTTAATCTGTGTTCTTAAATTATAAATATTTTATCAGATGACAAAAAGCCAGCGGAAAGGGGTGTAGATTATTATAGAACTTCAATGTCTGAAGAAATTCAAATTTAAATTAGTTACACAGCATATCTCTATCTTGTGTGACCGTGCACCTCTCTAATTATGATTTTTTTATGACAATTTAAAATCTTACCATGGCCAGATCTCATGAATTAAGGATTATATCATAAAATGCTTAAAACTGCCTCTAGTATGCAAAGGGTGAATTTAAATAACAAAATACGGATCTCATCCCATCAACCCCTTATTTGCCACCTACCTAAAAAAAAAAACCTCAATACATCAGTGGAAAGCTAGTAAAAATGCTTTTCAATGATATAAGTTGTACACTCAATAGTACATAATAATTAAAAACCTATTGCTTGCTTGTTTGGGATTCTATCACTGCGGATTTTACATCCATTAATCTATCTTTTTAGTCGTTATTTTGATTTTACAATGTTATTGTCTTGCATCTAGTTCCTACAGGTTAAAATTTGTATTTAATAATAATTCGCAAAACCTATTTAAAAGAAGATGGAATGTGTATGTTAATTAAATATTTCTGGTCCAGGAGTACAAACTAAATTGTTTTTATTAGGTTTTATTTTTCACATATTTTTGGTTCATGAGATATAGGCTATAGGTTAATAAATTGTTAAATTGTCACACTATTTGTTTTAGACATACTAGAAAATAGAACTAGATATTATAAAAACAAAATTATAAAATCGCGCCTCTTTTACTCAATAAAACCATTTTTTTTTCTTAGTTAAAGTCAGCATTTTTTGTATATATGTATACAGGATGTCCGAAAATTGCATGTACATGGAGCTGTCACAGATGCATGTGCTCAAAATAAGTTGATTTAACCAAACGTATCTACCTATATACCAATTTGCTTCGTTTGGCCACTAGAGGTCAACATACTGAAATAAAAATATCTGTTTGTCTTTAATCTCCAGAATTCAGCATCTTTGTTATATGCTATATTAGTGTGACATAATTTGTGTTTCAATAACAGTTGACTTTTATTTAAAACAAACCAATCTGTTATTGATTAACAAACGATTTTATTTTTTTAATATTGTTTGCAGGTCGAGTATTTTAAAGGTATGTAGTCAAATAATAGAAATAAAATGTTAATGAATGTCTATAACCTCTGTCATTTGTCACTGGAGTGCAAATTATGTCATGTATATTAGGGTTTCCTAAATTAAATAAAAATCTATCAATCCCTAATATAGTGTATAATATATGGGTCATAACATTAGACCCCCAAACATAGCTTTTAACCCCATAACACTTACATTATTTATTGTTGGTAATTCTGCTCTGGTTCTGTACGGACGACTCCAGAACCATTTACGTTCTCATAACACGTTGTTGAAATTATCAATAAATTAATTTAGAATCAATAACTCAGGCTCCATTCATATTGTTAGTTAACATCAAATAAAGTTAACAATGTTAGTCTTGATGTTTTAAGGTTTATACAAATGTTTATTTGTATCTACCTGATGAAGGCCATGGTTTTGCAAAGCACCTGAATTTAATAAAATTAAATTTTACATATTGCTGTGGTCGTCCCATTCTTAACCCCATGTTTAATAAGTACACCATTCCCAGTCTTTTTATTTATATATTTGACAGATTAAGCCACTACAAAACAGGTTTATAACAATTTGATTTAAACATAGGTTACGATACTAATTATAAAGAATTATCCACAAAAAATGTTTTTAAAGGCAGAGTTACAAGTCATGAAGAATTAAATCCAATTTTTTGTGGTTCACCCTATACCTATTTAAAAACACACTTCACTTTCAGATACGAATTTTGTGATTTATGAAAATATGAAAACATTTTTATTTCAGATTCATGCTTATATACCAGAAGGAGATGGCCTCGATGATGAAGATATCCAAACTACAGATGATTTTGTTGAAGAAAAGAAAAAAAAAGGGAAACCAGTTGGAAAGAAGAGAAAAAAGAAAATCAAAGAAGAATTTGTTGAATCGTATGAAGATCTTGGTAAGTGCAGACAACTTAGTTTTAACTTTTTATGATATTCATTTTATAAAATACAAATATTTATGGATACATTTAGTGATTAGAGTAAAAAAAAAACTATAAAAATTATAATAATTTTAGAAGCAGTAATTAAATTCATAAAAACGGTATGACCGCAGGTAATAACATTACTGGCGAGTCAATACATAAATACTAAATAATATACCATGTAAAAAATATAATTTAAGCAATTTCATATTTCTTTTTAGGAATTACTTATTAATCTTAACATATATGTATGTATTTTAGGAGCTTCTAGTTCCAGAACATATAATTATGTTGATGAAGACATGAAACTAATGGAACAGATGTCAAATAATGTCAAGCATGACTACAATTACATTCAAGAGGAAGATCAGCAGCCTATCGAAACTCGATATCCTGTTACTGATCCCAGAAAACCCTTCGTCTGTCAACATTGTGGTGTTGGGTTTGCCAGAGAAAAAGCTATGATGTCTCATATAAGGTATGCCATTTTCTTTCCATTTGTATTATTACCATATCCATGAAACCAGTTTTATTTAGATTTCTTAATATTGATATGACCCGTTTCATCATTGTATACTATATTGTTTTCACTAACAGGAGAGAGTATTAACTAATTATGTATGGAAACTACAAAACGAGTAGCTCAAAAATGTAATGTTATTCTGTATCTACTTATCTACGGAGACCTGGTGTAATGATGATAATATCAATATATTTTGTTTTCATGGATACCATCAGGCTGCATTCTTTAATAGGACTGATAAGGATAATGGTGGTGTCTTGATACTTGTAAAAAAATCTTTGTTGTATGATATACCGCGATTTATTAGTGACAAAAGTGAAGAATTAAATTTTGAATGTTGTTCAATTACGTTTAGTTTAAATGGACTTGGGTATTGTTTGTTAACTATTTATCGGGCCCCAACAGGTAATCTTGATACGTTTTTTAATAAGATGTATATGTTTCTTAATTATTGTTTTAGTCATTTCAAATGTATCATCATTTGTGGAGATTTCAATATTGATTTTTCAAAAGATTCACGAGAAAAAGTTTTATTAGTTGATTTGATGGAGTGTTTTAACTTGCGTTGTTTAAATAGAGAACCAACTAGAATTTGTACTGACAAAAACGGTAAAACGTCGCGTACTAAAATTGATTATTTTCTCACAAACTACCTTTCTACATATATACGGAAACCGTAGACCTCTGTATTGGAGATCACCTAGCAATTGACGTGTCATTAAATTATATAAAGGAAAAATGTTATGTAACTGATATCAATGAAAAAATACATTTTAGAGACTTATCAGAGGCGAATTTACTTAATCTGCAGCAAAAAATAAGTTCTGAAAATTTTGATTCTGTGTATGAATATTTTGATAACATAAATCTTGCCTATGAAACATTCTTAAATATTCTAAATTACTATATAGAAGTAAATTGTCCGGTTGTCACAACAGCTGTAAAGACAAATAAAAAAAATAACTGGATAACTCCAGATATTTTGAGGATGGGAGCTGATATAAGAAATTTATTTTGGTTAGTAAAAAATTCTAATGATGTGAATATACATATTAGATACAAAGAAGCAAAGAGACAATATGTCAATAATATAAATGGAGCAAAAAGATCACATTTTCAAAAGGGATTGCACAATAAAACTTTTCAGCAAAAACAAAAATATATATGGAAACAGGTAAATCACCAAGATGGTAAAACATCAAAAGGTTCTCAAATTAAACAAATTAAAAAAAGCACTACAGTCACATTTCAATGATTTGAATTTTAAAATTTTTATTGCATCATGTGTCTCTCAGACCGTTTACTTCTCTCCTGTTGATCATCGTGATGTAATTGAAGTTATTCACTTATTAAAAAATGTTAACTCTATGGGCATTGACTGCATTTCCACAAAGATAATAAAATGTATTAGTCATCACATCTCTCAAATTTTAGCAGACTTAATCAATCAGTCTATTCAGCTAGGTATTTTCCCAGATTATCTGAAAGTAGGATATGTAACTCCTATCTTTAAAAAAGGTGATAATAATTTAATTGATAATTATTACAGTGCCTACAATCTTAAGCAACATCTTTGAAAAGTGTGTCCACAAAAAAATGCTAATATTTCTTAAAAAATATGAAATAATATGCAAAAATCAAAATGGATTCCTTCCAGAAAAATCTACTGAAAGTGCAGCAATAGATCTTTTTAATTTCATACATACTTCTATCGATCAAAAGTTGTTTGTGGGTGCGCTTTTCTTTGATTTGTCAAAGGCGTTTGATTCAATCAACTTAGATGTCGCTATTCAAAAATTGGAAGGGCTTGGTTTTAGAGGTAACTTTTTGTCTTGGTTGTCATCTTATATAAATAACAGACAGATCTATGTCAAAGTCGGAAATTGTAAATCTGAACTAGAAAGTGTTGATATGGGTGTGCCTCAGGGATCAATTTTAGGACCTCTAATTTTTCTAAGCTACATAAATGATATGCCTAATCATATTAACTCAGAAAACATAATTTTATATGCAGATGATACAACAATTGCCACCAACGCACAATCAGTAGATTAATTAATTAGTAAATTAAATATTTTATCTAATGAGTTTACATCATGGTGTTTTAGAAATTCTTTAATTGTTAATTCAAACAAAACCGTTTGCCTTCAGTTCTACTCCAGAAATCAAATTACCCAGAATTGTAAAGTAAATGTCAATAATGCAGAAATTATGCTCTCAGATGTTACAAAATTTTTGGGCATACATATTGATAGCAATATGGGTTGGGATAGCCAAATATCTAATGTTTGTAAAAAATTAAACAGCGCATTCTATGCAATACTAAAATTAAAATCAATATTTATCCAAGAGCAACTGCTTAATGTCTACTATGCTTTAGCATATTCTCATATATCATACAACATTATTCTTTGGGGTGATGCAGTCAATGCATCTAAAGTATTTATCTTACAGAAAAGAATAATCCGGCTTATTTTTAATCTAGAATTAATGCAAACTTGTAAATATAACTTCAAAAAATTTAAAATATTAACATTTCCCTGTATTTACATTTATAAAACGTTGCTATATGCTAAACGCAACATACACCAATTTTTACAAAATTCAAATTATCATGAATACTCAACTAGGAATGCAAATTTATTCAGAACACCAAGACATTCAACAGCATTATTTGAGAAATCGCCTGAATTTGTTGGAATTAAATTTTTTAATCAACTCCCTGATTTCATTAAATCTGAAAAGAAATATGAACCTTTTAAAAGAAAACTTAAAAACTAATGTATACTGTACCTATATTTATTTGTATTTTAATATTTTTTATTCATATATATTATGACTTATCCTATATCATGTAACATGATCCTAAAGGACAAATAAACTATTATTATTATTATCAATCTGTATATTTCAGAAATAATTGACCCATTTTTTATCCTTGCTTCTTTTTTTTTAACATTAGCATCAAAACGTAGTGATTTTGTACTTATTTTCTTTTTAACGTTCAAGAATGCATTCGGAAGGTGACAGCCCTTTTGAGTGTCAAAAATGCGGCGAAATGTTTTGGGATCTGATGCAAATGAAGGCGCACAATAAGGAAAAGCATGGAGATGTGGACGATTACGAAGATGATGATGATGAAGATTATTCTGAAGAGGATACTAAATATGGAACCTACTATTGTTCAACTTGTGGCCTCTCTTTCCATAGGTGAGTCATGGTAAAAATACTAGAAACATCAAAATATGTTTACATTATAGATACTTGTGGGAATGTTACAGAATAAATTAGATTGGTATATATTAGTTCTGTAACAAATGCTTATATAGCTAAATAATAATAAAATATATTTTTCATTATATTTATTATTATTTATTATTATTTATTATTATTTATTATTATTTATTATTATTATTATTATTATTATTATTATTATTATTATATATATTTTCCGCGGTTGGTACTATTAGAACATAATTGCAATAATTACTAAAAAAATCTGATGTGTCCAACACGTGACTTTCCTATCTAGTTATTATAGGCTTTTTCCGGTTATTTTGTACAACCTATTGCAGCACCTCTGTAAATGTTTAGAGGATAAACTAAATATATACATTTTACACATACATCTACCTCGAAACATTTTTCTATAGATATTCATTGAAAACGAAAATACTGAAAAATTTAAATTTAGCACTTTTCCTACAATTTTTCCATTACGGTCCATTTTAGGAAAATCATGTATAAACAAAAATTATAGGGATCGATATCGCAAACAACTTTTAGTTCAACAATTTTCATAAAAATCGGAATTTTGCACATTTTGTCAAATTTCTCGAATACGGACCTTCTCAGGAAATTTTGACATTAAGCAAAAATTATAGATAATAATATTAGAAGTAACTTTTATTTGTACAATTTTTTTCTGCAAACATAAATAACATATATTCCATAAAATATAAAAACGGCCTCCCATAAAGTACCCCCCCAGATGTTCCGACTTTGTCCAAAATTTAATCAGTTGTCATCGGCTTCAACTACCAGGGTTATTTCGCCTCGTGTTCTGTGTAGGCTTTGTTACTGTTTCCCAGCGCCATTTTAGGAACAGCACTGTTAATTAGAACCCAACAGTGAATGGTCGAGTGGATCCACAAGCAGAGACTCTACCACTTGTTAATAATTGTGTCGTCACATCAATAGGACATATTCTGTCAACTTTAAATGTCTATAACTCACCTTTATTTGTCGTAAATAGTAAAATAATAGTAGAATCAAAGTTTTAGTAAATAAAAATTTGTTTTTAGACAAGACAATCTTCGACGGCACCAAAGAATTCACGTTAAGGAAGAATATGTAAATGAACACGAATTTGGTCATATATGTAATGTTTGTGGGGAGTCGTTTCAAGAGGCACTCGATTTGTTGGCTCATGCAGAAGTTCATGCCAGGACACATGAGTTCAGATGCATGATATGTGGAGAAGTGGCAGAGGATGAAAATTTGTTAGCAGTCCATGTGCAGGTGAGAATTTTACCAATAAACCTTTTTGTATATATCTTTTTATTACCAATTATAATTTTAGAATGACATTAGAATTTCAATGAAATTGATAGCCAATCAAATGCTGTTATTTTAAAACATTTCCATGACAACCAGAAAAATTTCCAGAAATTTTTCTCCTGGTGGGTACCCTGAACGAAATTACACTGGATTTTTTTTTTGACATTTGAGAAGCTCTTTCATGCACATGATATTACGACGCGACGTGTGATTAAAAAATTTGTCATTTCAATTGTTAAAATTTTATTTAATACCAATTATTTATAGAAATACACTATATTTATTTTAAGTAAAATAATAATTAGGGGTTTCTCGTCGACTAAACGACTTCAAATATGACTAATACGCATAACTGGCATGACCAACTTTGCAAAATTATCCCTTGCCTTCGACTCGGGATAATTTTCAAAATATTCGTGAGTTCAAAAAAAAAACATTCCTTAAAAATTTAGACATTAGTGGTATTATAAGTGAAAATTTCACACCTTTTTTAATCAGTGAAAAGCAGTTTTCTCCAGTGTCATCATGGCAACCCAGACATTTTTTTCTAGGCTGAATAAGAAACTACACTCTGGAATTATATTGAAATAATTAAATTTTTATAGTTAAATATGCCTCCTCTATTGTAGGCTAAACATGGCAAAAATCTACCTCCAAATACTTGTATGCTTTGTGGACGAAGTTGTAAAGACCGACGAACACTACTAAAACACTCTTGGGAACATTCTAAGGAAAAAGTGAGTTGAATATAAAAATTATTTTTGATGTAAATATGTCATGTACAAATACGTTCACATCATCTCGCAGGAAAAAGTTATACTGTTAAGGTTGGCATTTGCCCATACAAATCCTCCATATTTACAGAAGTTACTTTCAATATAGTTTTTGGGAAAAATATACATTCTAGCAATAATTATTTTAATATTGAAATTAGAACATGAAGTGTGTCTTATGAAACGGAGTTTTTTTATTTCTGTTACAACCCATACCACTAACACTGGAAAATAATGAAACACATCACACTTCAAAATAATTTTTTCCTTACAGCTCGGTTTAAAATAATACGGATTTTTTTTATGAAATACACAATTTATGTTGCGCGATATAGCGACAAGTTACAAAGTTAAAAATATTTTATTTTGACTATTTTGTAAAACAAAAAACCTTATTTGTCAGATAAACGGTTCCTGAGATATGGTCGGACGCCAGCCTTAAGTACAGAAATTTGCCTTCATCATTAGTTAAATGTGAAATTCGCAATTAAAGATTAAAACGTTTATTTCAGTTTTATGTATAATTCAATTTATTATTTAATTGTATCATTTTTTAGGTGTTTGCTTGTACAAAATGTGACAAAACTTTTCACAATAAAGCTCGGTTGAAACGTCATATGCTTTCTCACAGGAACAAAGTGGTGACATGTGATGTTTGTGGGGAGGAGTTTCCAGATGGCAGGTCTTTGATGAACCACAGACACAGTCACAGTAGTGTATCTGGTAGGCAATTTCCTTGCAGAGAATGCGGCAAAACTTTTGGTTCTAGGAGTTCACAACAGATTCATATTAGAATACATACAGGTAAATAAATAAATAAAAAAGATTCAAATATAAAATATATTGATATGGTAAATTAAAAAACAAGTAATAATTATACTGTACCTGATTGAAAAGATGTACGAAAGTTCCAACAAACAAATAGGGCAAAGGCGATTTTTTATTTAATATTATTTAAAAGTAATTACTTTTGATTTAGTTCCATTTTATTGTCTAAGTTGTCTAAATCATTAAAATAAAGAAAACAACAATTGTGAATACCCTGAGAAAAAAATTGTACTCAATCAATTTATTAAAAAAAGTAAAATATTTTGAAGAAAAATATATAAAATAAAATAAATTTTAATATAGAACAATTTTTAATAAAAAAATGTAACAATGCAGTAATTCAAATTGTAATCCAGGAAATTAAAAAAAGTCTCAATTTAGCATAATTAAATATTTAATATATATTTTTAAAAAGACCTCCAAGTTAACGTCTCTAAGAGGTGTGTCTCTAGATCTCTCCATTTTTTTAGTCGCCTCTTACGAAAGTGGCAATTTGGTGGGCTTCTACCACTTCGATAGTCAAGGCCCTAGGTGGAGCTATTCTGGCCGACCATTCCACAGGGCGATATACACTAGCATTGCCTTGGTGCTTCTGTTATGAATTTATTTTAGATTTCAATCAAAAAATTATAATGGAAATCAATATATTAAAAAAAATAGGGTGGGTAAATTATGCCTATTTTATGACTGCAGAAAAAAATTGTATGTGTAATTTGGAATTACAATACTTAAGAAGCGAGATTTCCATATACTGTAATGTCAGTGACTACTTTTTCTTTTTTTATTAAGTATTGTAATTCCAAATTACACATACACCTGATTTTACTTGGGAAATCAAATTTAAGGCCATGTAAAAACAATGGTCTATTTTAATTTATTTTGAAGGTTTTATTTTTGTATCTGGAATTATGACAAGAATTGTGAACCAGACTTCTGAATTATTAATGAAGTATTTATACCCAGGTACCATTTTATTATTATGTAACTCCTAATGGATTTGCATTAGTTCATTTTTAAAAGTTTGAGACCACTGATATATTTTAAAATATTCTAATTAAATTTAGGAATTTTTATTTATTAAAAATTTACACTTTCATTTTAACTTTTATGCAGGTGAGAGACCTTATGGATGCCGGTTTTGTTGGAAAGCTTTTGCTGATGGAGGAACTCTTAGAAAACACGAACGTATTCATACTGGAGAAAAACCATATGCTTGTGCAGTCTGTCCACGGGCATTTAATCAGCGAGTCGTATTACGAGAGCACATACGGTCCCATCATTCAGCACCAGATCCTAAATATGCCAACAGGTAATTATTACTCTAATACCTTACTAATTTACAAAGCATTTTTTAATTTACCCATATTTAAAACGCATACCAAAGAAAAATTAAAGACGCTGAGATGAAAAGAAAAAATAGATGCCCTGGTCAGGGATCAAACCTGGATCTCCTAGTTTACACCTTATGGAAAATTTAGGGACTTCAGATTCATTATCACATTTACAAATGCATACTTCAGTTTTCGGATCTTTAACTGATATTCTTTCTTTCTTTCTTTCTTTCTTTCTTTCTTTCTTTCTTTCTTTCTTTCTTTCTTTCTTTCTTTCTTTCTTTCTTTCTTTCTTTCTTTCTTTCTTTCTTTCTTTCTTTCTTTCTTTCTTTCTTACATACATGAAAACTATTCTAGTGTGTCTTTCAAACCGATGCAGCATTGGTGGTTTTCATCTGGATTTAAAGGCTTAGGCGGACAGTGTAATATTTCTCCAAGGTTACACAGACATTAAAAATGAAACTGTGTCTAAAAATGGCAGTGTGATAAATAAGCATGTCTCTTATGTTGATGTTCAATATTGAAATTTATCATCAAGATAGGGAGGCAACAAGCAACAATCTCCTTTGATTATTCTATGCACTATACCTATCCTACCCACTGACCTTCATATTAAACTGGATGGCTATATATCATGAGCCCCATTCCAGAGATAAGGGACATAAAGATTGGAAACGCAACGATGGCGTCATCTACAGATCTACGTCGTTTGTAGAGAGACCAGTGTTGTCAAATATTTTTTTTGAGAGATCGTACGAGTAAAAAAATAGTATTTCGACAAAAAAATTGTACAATAAATACATGCATAGCATAATATAACTATAAAAAAAACTGGCATGATAATTTATTTATGTTTACAACGCAAAAAAAAACTAAAGAAAATACATGAAACTTTAAATTAACATAAGTAATCAATGACAATCACTTGAAACTGATTAAAATTTTGAATGCAAGCTTTTCTTATGCCGTGATAGTCGGTGTACAAAATTACCATGGTCAAAATCACGATAAGAAATTACGAACGGCCTATGAATCTTTGCAAGTAGTTTTTGATTTTTATTGTTTTATGTTCTGAAGTTGTTGCAGATATTTAAGGTGATTACAGCACCCTCTTATAATTTTCGGAAAAGGATATCTCAAAAAGTAATTTTTTTAGAAAATTTAAATTTGGACAAAATATCTAGAATATGCATATTTTTTAAAGTTTTAATTATTTCCAGTTTCCGAGAAAAAAAATCAAAGGGCTTTAAATTTTGAAATATCATAATGAAAATAAATGCATTCCTCAACAGCAGTATTCCTAATATAATCCTCAAATTTAAGCTCTTAATCTCTTGTTAATGATTTTTTAAAATTCGCCGAAATTAGTGGCTAAAACGCCTCGTTAAGTGCTTCTTTCTAGTGTAACGCGTCTGTAACTATCGTATCGTACACTCTGAGTCATCATTCGTTTCTTGCAATGATTTACACTAGTTTACACCAGTTTAAACCAGAAAATAGTACTTAACAAGGCGTTTTAGCCAATAATTTCGGCGAATTTTAAAAAATCATTAACAAAAGATTAAGAGCTTAAATTTAGGGATTATATTAAGAATAATGCTGTTGAGGAATGCATTTATTTTCATTATGATTTTTCAAAATTTAAAGCCCTTTGATTATTTTTCTCGGAAACTGGAGGGAATTAAAATTTTAAAATATATACATGTTCTAGATATTATTGCCTAATATATTTTGCCAAAATTTTAATTTTTTAAAAAATTACTTTTTGAGATATTCTTGTTTGAAAATTATAAGGGGGTGCTGTAATCACCTTAAATAAACCTACTAAAAAAGTGAAGATCGTATTTTTACATACGATCTCACTGATGCAATCGTACATCGCCATCGTACAGAGAGTTAAAAAATCGTATAAATACGATTTAAATCGTATGGTTGGCAACACTGAGACAGACAGTAGACGTGGACAGCAGTGGACAGTTTGTAAAAATAAATGTCAGTTTTATGTATATCGAAGAATCCTGAATTTAAATTTAAAATTTTGGGTTCATGATTGTTTTATCATCTAGATGAACTAAGCGAAATAGTTGTGGCTGTTTTTGTGTGCAATTTAAGGACAGTAATTATATTTTGTAATATTACAATAAGTCGGAGAACGTATTGCATTAGTAACACATGCCACATGAACAAATTTAACAACCCCAATGTGGCTTGAAAACGTTAGAAAGAAGATTTGATATAGGAAGAAAAATATAAATTTAAAAATATTTGTCATGAATATAGATTTACAATAATTAATCGATAATAGACTGTAAGTGTAGTATTCTTTTTAATAAATAAGTTAGCGTAATTACATTGTTTAAGTTTATTTACAAGAACATGAGAGTGCAGTCGATATTTATGCAACCTTTATTATCAGGTTTTTGAATTTCCCGCTGTGTTGTTTGATATAGATGAAAACGCCACATAGTGGGTCAGATGTTAACTGCGATAAAGCTGGTCGTTGTTTAGCATTGGCTTCTTATGGGCGTTTCCTATCTTTATCTCCCTTATCTCTGCCCCATTCCTAATTTCTAACCGACATGGGTGAAAAAAAAAAAAAATGATTGGTGCACATGACAATTTAGACGCCAGATTGTCAATTTCAAGCGTTCTATGTTATGTTTTCCACGGGCGTACTACAATAAGTTATATTATTTTGTATTAATATCCTGGTATTTTAATTATCATTGTTATTGAAACGTTTGTTTTAACTGCTTATTAAAGATCATTTTAAAGTGATTTTCTTAAATTAAAAGGTGTTGTAGTTGAAGGCAATAAGTGTTAAATTTAATTTTGGTGTTACCTTTTAGTGCATTTGAATACGCACCTGTGGGCATCTCGCTATGTGGCTTGATTTTGTTGATCGGCTTTGTGCTTCCCAGTTTAATATATAGTTCAGTAATCGTACCCGGGATGTATTAATTTTATTCTCCCAATGACCCATAAATCCGTTGTAAATAAATAAAAATAGTCTCATTTTGTAAAAGTGCATTATACTTCCAAATTCTTTCTTTTTTAGTATGACACCTTACTGTTGTTCCGTATGTTCAGACATGTTTGCTACTTCGCAGGATTTAATTTTACATTTAATTCACCATTGTGACATGAATACAGCTATGAAACGACAACCACAAGTTGGTCCTAGGAAGTACAAACGAAGAAGAAAACTTAAACCTCACGAGTTGGAGATGATTACCAATAGGTTAGAGGATGGAGAAAATGAACAATCTGAGGTTTGTACAATAGCGTTATATTAAACAACACATATTGGTATAAAAAACGTTTTTTTATTTTCTGTGATTGATTTGGTGGTACCCAACATATATGTGAATATGTCCCCGCTATAAACCTATATTATTTAAATTGTAATGAGGTCATCTTCATAAATGAAACAATTCAAAATCTGGTCCACATATTAACAAAATTTACATGGTAACCGATTTCAGCCTAAATAAAAACTTGTACATTATAAGTTGCAAACCTCATATTCACAGGGTAACCAACCTTAAAAATAAGCACCAAATAAAAGGGTAAAACATAAATGTCATGGTAAACATCAAAATAATAAGTATTTAGTCAATCACCTCAGCAATTAGTTTAATGGATTAATTATCATTTTAATATTTATTTAAAAATTAAACTTAATAAACTTTTACGGTAAAACCTGAAAGTCGGCCATTTGGTTTAAATATAACTATCAATGCGAAATCATGTCTAGTATGTTCAGGTACATTTTTATCTCCCTGATAACTTAAAACGCTATTTTTTCACTTTCTTATAAAGTATTACCCGAGAATAACGACCACAGAGAAGCGGTAATAACTGTCGGTCCATTGAAATTCGGAGAGTACATTTTGTGACCTTGAATATAATGTATGAGATGGATGTCCAGTATAATACACCAAGAAAAAAATGCTACACACTTGCTAAAAAAATATATTGAATTTAAAAATATTTTACCTTATCATGCATAAAATTTATATAATAAAATATTGGTTTTTATTACAATATTTTCTGTCGTGTTAAAACTTTTAATTTTATTTCCCCACAAATTAAAATTTAAAAAAATATACTAATCCACCTTTTTCGTTATTCGACAATTTCGCATAACTCATGATTGAAAAAAACATAAAAATAGTAAACTTTAAACTTTTAAGTTATGTTCAACAAATTAAATAAATAAATAATCGTATATTGTAAATTTATATTTAAACAATTTACTTTTTAAAAAACGTTAATAGCCTAATTCACAAAGTATCTTTAAATATTCGAATATGTAAAACCTGAAATATAGGAATGTCGTTACAATGAATGTCCAATACAGTTGTGCGATATTTCACGTAACACTATTTAAATATTTTAATCTTGGTAAACTGACTAATACATATTTTCCAGAAAAACATTAACGAATTACATTTGTTAATAATTTGAGGAGACATAACTTCATTTATTTGAATTTTAGTAATAACGGTAACGATTCAAAATGTGATTGAAAAATCACGCCTTTGGCTAACTAACTTTACTTTTTCTCTGAATTTACGTTGACGTTTCAATCTTGAAGGGATTTACACTTAGGTAACTATTTAAAAATTGCTTAGTGAATACAAATGTAAGTTTAATAATAAAAAAAAAAAAAATAAAAAAAACAGGAAAATCCCAAAACCGTAAATCACAGAATGATTAATTCCTTTTAAACATTAAGTATAATAATCGTAGATTGCAAACCAAATAAACCAAAAACCAAATTTAAATCAGAATTGCTTGTATTATAAAATACGTTTTTTATGCTAAAGTGTGCTGCATGAAAAGGTATAAGAAAAATATAAAACTTTCTATTAATCACTTTCAACTGATTAGGATTTGGGCGACAATTATACAGATTCTGAAGAAGAAAAGGAAAGAAAGAAGAGATATAGTAGAAAGCAACCTTTAAAGAAACCTACATCACCAGAATCGCCTAAAGATCCTGAAAGTGAATCTTATGTAGAGCTGTATAATAGTGTTTCATCAACAATAGGTAAATATAATTTGAGAATATTAGTCACATTAGGTAAAAAAACGTTTTAATGATAATAATAATTCAAACAGAATCCAACTAGGATGAAAACTTAACAATCTTAAGATATGTATATATTTAATTTCGCAAATTTGAAACATTTTACTTTTTATAATATTAATATTTGTTTGACGTTATGTGCTTGAAGCGTCATTGTCAAGTGTCAATAGAGGTTAATTCAATATTAAAAAATCCCTTTAATCGCAAAACTAACATTTGTTATAATAGAAATCCTGTTGAAATAGACGTTTCAATTATTAAAGCGCTAAATTGGTGTAAAATAATAGAATTTCATTGAAAAATAGATGAAAAAGCTAAATAAACAACAATTAGTACAAAAAAGTAAAAATACTGAAAAATCGAGAAAAACAACTGAAATGTGTGAAATGTCATTTAAAACACGTATTCTGATTAAAAAAAAAACAAAATGGTTAATTAAATATTAAAAAAAAATCTTTTGAATCTGTCGTTTCAAGTATTAAAACGCTAAATAGGTGTAAAATAATGGGTACATTCATTGAAATTTTTGTTTATTCAAATTTTATTTATTATTTATTTTATTTCTATTTCTCATAATAATTATCATATGATTATATAAAGAAAGATAATGCACAAAAAGTGTTCACTCACTTATCTGCGTGTCAGTTGGGTAAATTATATTAAATTGTTTTAAGTAAAAACTTGTAAATCTAAATGTAAACTATATTATTATTAAACTATTGAGAAATAGCCGAAAAGGCTAAATAAACAACAAACAGTAGTACAAAAAAGTAAAAATACTAAAACTCGAGAAAAACTGAAATGTGTTAAAAATACGTATTCTGATTAAAAAATACAATGGAGGTTAATTTAACATTATATAAAGGGGTATATTTAATTGCACTTTAAAAAAATTCTTTCAACTATGTAAATAACAAACTATAAAATGACAGAATTGAACTTTGCATTTGTCTAAATTCAACTTTGAGCTTACCCACTATAAAATTATTCAATATCACCTTGATTTGGTATACTGAAAATTTAAACTTACCCACTATAAAACGATACAATTGCACTTTGGATTAGATATATTTTAAACAATAAGCCATTATAAAATGACAATCCCACTTTGGATAGGCACTAAACTTTAAGAGAAGTATTATTGTGTAGGTATGTTGCCTACTTATATAATTTTGTGAACAAAGTATAGAAAAATTGTTATATAACTATTAAAATATATTTTATGAAATAGTACAACAAATAAATGTGAAAAAAATGACTATTTTCTATTAAAAACAACTATTGAATTATTAGAGCCTTTTTTGCTCTGGTTGGCCGTCCTCTTTTCCTTTTCATGCCGAGAGGTAAACATTTCGATTCGATGGGCACTTTTGCTTGTTTTAAAATGACTAACATACCTCAAGAGTGTTTGCAGTTTTAAAAAAATTGAGCAAGTGCACCGAGATGTCATTCTATCATCGTACAATTTCGGAGAAAAAAGGAGCTGTGTCTGTCTCTTCTTGTCGTTTTATTAAATTAAGTTATAACCAGACGATAACAGGTGATGTAACTACTAACAAATATCGTGCGGTCCTGAATAAGACATAATCTAAGGGACACAGGAGGGTATAATAACCGCTGTTATCATATGCCTATTTCATTATTCTCGTTTTGTTTACAAAATTATTTACGTATATTAAAAAAGCTAAAATAATTGAACCTATTTAATTGCAACTGAACCCAAAAAATTTTGAATTATTAGTTATATCAAATTTGACTAAATTAGATGTAATTTCACTAAATTAAATGTAATAATTTTCAATAAATTCCAAAACCTAGTAATGGTACGTTGGAAGTGGCAACAAGGCTTACACTGGCATGGATATCTACGTTGTTTATTATAAGCGCAGATCGCTTACACATTTATTCATTGATAAAATAAAGTTGTCTCTGCGTAAAGTCTTTCTCTTTATCCCCTTTCTTACTTCTTACCTTTCGTCTCCTCGCCGCGAACCTACAAATAGAGCGTATTGTTTGTCGAATTAATCTTGGTATCGTGAATATTATATTTTATCAATGAATGGTTATATCTCTGCTTATAACTATTACGTTCAAAAGTGCTACTTACTTACGTTACTATTTCATGTATCGTTTTTTCGTGCAAAGTGTATTTATATAGTGTGTGAAAATATTTTAAAGTGGATTATTTTTTTTAAAGCTCAAAACTATTACACTGTTATTTTCATGTTCTATCAGATTTAATATGAAGTTAATAATATTTTTTCAATGTGCATTTTCTCTGTCATAAGTGTCAATATATTTTTTTTGTGTATTACTTTTCATTACATTTTTTGTAATGTTTATTAATTTCTTTTTAACGCTATTTTGGTCTATTTTAAAGTTCATTTAATATCAACCCTTATAAAAATCTTTTTAATCACAAAATTGAAGTCTGCTAAAATCATCTCACTTTTAAATATGACGATATCCCTGTTAAATGATTATTTATTTTTTTGCTGATAGGTGTATTTTATTACACCAATAACGTTTGCCGAATTTAGTAAAATTAAACTGAATAATGAAAATATTGTAGCTAATCATAATTTTTGATTTTCAACTTTAAAACCCTGTTTTTCGGAAACGAGTAATGTTTTACCTACGGACGTTTCGTTTATTCGGCTTATTTCTAATTAGTTAATCTTCAGTTGTTCCCATTCTTAATGGAATACCCTGTATATACCGAAAGGTCTCACAGCCCAAGAACCAAATAAAAAAAAAAAATGTAATAAAAAAGTGTTTTTATTACCTTATACTCGTATACACACAATAATTTATTTAGATCTGCATCAGTAAAAATTATTTTCAAAAAATTTAATCTCATTTATATGTAAGTTGGCGGTATCGGCATACGGAAAACTTTTTTAAGAAATTTAAGAAAGAAACTTATTTTTCATAAACAATTGCATGGTCTATTAATTTTAGAAAAAAAGTTACTTTACATAAAAAGTTATGCATGGTCTAAAACCTAAAATTCAATCATCTGATAACAAATTTTATCAGTCATATACAGTGTTGGTCGAAAATAAAGGTATTTTATCTTGAGCAAAATTATATTTTTTGACAAACCTTGTAAAATTGACTGATAAAATTTGATATCAAGTGGTTGCATTTTCTGTTAGACCATGCATAAATTTTTATGAAGAATAACTTTTTTTCGTAAAATAAATAATAAAAAAGTTTTCTATTTGCTATCAACTTACATAGACATACTGTATGTATGCAACTTATAACATATTGCTGAGCTAATGTTTTTGTAAAAAAAAAAAAATTAATCATAAAATTTTACTTCATTTGTAGAGTCGTAATTTATGTTTTCATATTCCTACTTTTTTTATCAATTTAGAACTACAGTACTATTTTCAATTATTAACAAAAATTACGTGTGTATTTTAGATTAATCAATAAGAAAAATAGGCATTTTTGAAATATTAATAACTAAATACAAATTAAACAACAAATGAATAAAAAAGCATTTAAAACACGTTGACTGCCGAAGCAAATGTTGTGGTCGGGTCTGCCGAGCCGAAGTAGTTTTTCTAAAAATTTAAGTCTGTTTTTACGTTTTAAGAGCAAAGTAGTTTAAGTAAATACTTAGGTAAACTACAATATCTAATAGAAGCGTAAATAAATATATAAACGCGGCGCGGGATTAAATTATTACAAATATATGTCGCGTGCATATATTGTGAATAATATATTCAGGTTGTCTCATTAGTGCGTAATTGTTCAATATTTCAATTTGTGTTGTAGACACGTAAACAATTTCTAGATAAAAGTTATATGAATTTCAAAAATAGGTATTTTAAAGATATTTTTAGATATACAGGGTTTTGCGTTTTTGTCTGACAAATAAAACGGTATATTTTTTAAGTAGAAAACCCTGCATTTTACTTCAGTTTTAGAATGCTTTAGTAATACTGTATTTAACCCTAGAATTTTATTAACAAATATTGCAGGGTTACCAATAAATTAATTTTTTTATGAAATTAGAGAATGATTCAGAACCCAAATTAAATTATCATTATTTAGGTAGGTTTAAAATAATTTCAAATTTTTTTTAAAATGTAGTAATAAGATACTAAGCTAACGAATAGTGGTAATAGAACTGGATTATTTTATACAGTGTGTTTTGAAAAACAAGTCTTAAATATGGCTAATTCCAAGTTAAATTTATTTAATTTTTTTCAAAAGCCACACCCTGTATATTATTTAAGCATACAATTCCTTATAAATTAACATATCCAACGATACCAATATGTTAGTCAATAACACATATGAGTGCGTAATTGATCGATAGTAGTTTTATAATAGAAAATACGAAAAAAAATTAATATAAAAGTTGTATGACCATATTTAACAATTATTTATAAATATATAGGGTAATACATAAACGATTGTCTGACCAAACATATACATTTTTAAAGCAAAACACCCTGTAGGTAGTTATACATATTTGACTGTTTTCACATCGTCGAACAATAATTTCAATTTCATTCATTTGCTATGTTGTATATAGGGTGTGTCAAAATGGTTACGATTTTCTCAATTTTCTAAATGGAACACCCTGTATGTTATGCCACCAATTAATATAATATTCCATTGAAAAAATTTTAAACATTCATAACCTCGCGTGTTGACACACCCTATATATAACATAGCAAATGAATGAAGTCAATTAAAATTATTTGACGACGTGAAAACAATCAAATATGTATAATTACCTGCAGGGTGTTTTGATTTAAAAATGTATAGGTTTGGTCAACATCTCGTTTATGGACCACCCTGTATATATAGGAATAATTTTTAAATGTGGTCATACAACTTTTATATTAATTTTTTTTTCTTATTTCTAATAATAAAACAGCTATCGATCAATTACGCACTGATGAGACACTCCGTATATATGTTATTCTCTAACATGTTGGTATCGTTGGATATGCAAATTTATAAGGAATTGTATGCTAAAATATTATATCAAATGCTGCCTTTGAAAAAATTGAGTAATTTGACTTAAAAGTAACCATATTTAAGACATGTTTCAAAACACTCGCTATAAAAGAATCCAGCACTATCACTACTATTCGTTATCTTAATGTGCTATAAGTCAGTATATTAAACAATTTTGAAATCAATGTAATCCTACCTAAATTATGATAATTTAATTTGGGGTCTGCATCATTTTCTAATTTTATAAAAATTTAATTGCTTGGCAGACCTGTAATATTTTTTTAAATTATTCTAGGGTTGAATACAGTATTACCAAACCATTCTAAAATTGAAATAAAATACATGTTCTAGTTTAAAAATATACCAAGCAAAAATGTAGCACCCTGTATATATCTAAAAATATTTTTAAAATATGTATTTTTTAAATCCATATAACTTTTCTTTGAAACATGTTTGCGTGTCTTTAACATAAATTAAAATATTGAACAATTACGCACTAATGGGACATACACATAGCAGTCAACGTGTTAACTCAGAAATAAGATTCCTTATAAACATAAAATAACATTCAGAAGAAGAAAGCAAAGTACGCAAATATTACGTGCGTATCATACAATGATGCCAGGTCATTCGGATTTAAATTACATCGGAATGCAATAAAGTTCCTTCCCTTTCCTGCATTTCACCATTGTCCACTTTAAAATCAAATTCGTCCTAGAAAGAATTGTGAAATTATCGTATAAATCGATAATCTGGCAACGTGGTCAACACTTGTTCATACACAGGCAAAATCAATCGATAATTTGGAACCAAACGAGACAAATATATATGAAAATCACGAAACAATAAAAGACGGCATACAGCTGTATCACTGTTTCAAAAATTGGTACCTCTAAACAAACATTTACCTATTAAAACCATCTCTAAAACAGAGTAGCTACATTGTTTTTTACGGTGACATCTTCTTAAAAATAGATTAACTACATGAACTATACACAATTACAGGAATTCATAGAAAATCTCTAATTTGACAAATAAATTTATCAAATATTTGTTAATCGTATTTCGAGTTAGATTTGAAAAATACGCAATAAAATTTAGAAATATTTTGGCGGGATACTTGGAAAAATATGTAGAATTAAATTTCCTACTTTTTAGTCTCTGATTTTAAAATCGCTTTTTATGATTTTTTTTTTAAATTTAGTGTATAAACAGGACAAATAAAAATAGGAGATTTCATTCTCCAAACATTATACTTTAAGCTGGTAGAAGATTCATTTTAATACATTTAGCGGGATTTAAATGCAATCGGAAATGGTGAACCCTTGGTTCTTATATGAAAAATACAGTGATACTGCGGCCTTAAGGCGCTGCTATGACCTACTATGATTTCAAGGTCGATTTAAGTGAACAACAAAGTCTTGAATGGTGAAGGTGCATTTGGTGATGAAAGTCCTTCACAAGCAACTGTGTTTCACTGGTATAGCGAATTTAAAAGAGGACAGATATTACTTGGTGCTGATAGGCCATGTTCTTCAGTTAATGTTGGAAACATTGAGAAAATGAGATGTATAATTGAAGAAGATCCAAAATACACCTATCAAGCGATTAAGGCAACTCTTGGTGTTGGCTCTGCAACAGTAAATTTAATTTTACATGATCATCTTCATATGAAAATAATTGTTACTCGTTGGGCCACATATGCTTAACAATTTCCAAAAGGCAAAGTGAGTAAAAATCGCGCGGGAATTCTAAAATAGTAGCATGTAATGAAACATACATATCATTGTATGATGTTTCTACCCGCCAGGAGAGCCGTGTGTGGATTTACAAAGATGCACCAACTCCATCAATGGTGAAAAAGCAACGAGCTGTCAAGAAAGTTATGTGCAGTTTTCTTTCGTAGTACAGGATTAGTGAAAGCTATTAAGTTTGAATATCAACGTACAGTTTCAGCAAACTGGTACACCAAAAAATGTTTACCTGAAGTTCTTAAGTCAGTCAATATTTGCGGGTTAATGTTGTATCATGACAATGCATTATAACACACTGCACAGCAGATAGTTGATTTTTTAACGTGAAAAGAATGTAACAATCATTGAACATCCACCCTATTCGCCTGATATGGCCATGTGCGATTTCTAGTTGTTCTTTAAACTAAACGTGGGCGACATATCACGATGTAGGATGAGATAGATGAAGTAATTCATCCATTTTTTGAGAGCATCCTAAAAAATATGACTGGCTTCAAGCTTTTAAGTTGTGAAAGCTTCAGTTACAAAAGTGCATTGATATAGGTGATGAATACTTTAAACATAAATAAAATCATTTTTCTAAATAGACTTAGTTTTCTTGTATTTCAAAATCTCATATTCTGTCACAAACCTTGAGCTTGTAATATAAACTTATTAAAATTCAAACTAGGTATTAGTTTTGTTGTGGCTTAAAAACACTTTTTTTACAGAAAACATTAATTCTTTAGTGAATTCAAAGTCAACGCCGAAGACCAAACAGCAAATAAAAAAACTTAAATCTGACCAGTCATTGCCGAGCAGACCGAAAATGATCCATACTCAGAAAACCCGAGTGCCTGTTGAAACGGGAGAAGACGGTAGGATAAGGCATAAGACAAAGACCTTAATTACAAGAACCCAACCAACAGAAATAAAATCTGCTATTGGTGAGTTAATTGGGAACGAATTCTTGTGTGGTTAAATTTATATAATTTAATGAATAGAGACAGTTTTGATTATGGTTAGGTCAGATTAGAAAAAACGTTCTTATGAAAAATTTTATTTTATTTTTGTTTTTGTAGTCTAAAATTAGTAATATACTTAGTTTGGTTTTAAATGACTGGATTATTTCGCACCTTTTAGTTTGTTACAAACACTAAAGACACTTGATAGAAATTATTCTTGTAGTGCATGACGTTTTAATCATCAACCAATGGAGGTATTCTTTGATAATTAAGTCCATGGCATGTTTTGTATTATTTTAAAGCATAAAGTTAGAAACTATTCCATAAACTTTCATTGTTGACACATATCTACTAAATTTAAAGTAATGTGAAATAGTGCTGTTATGTCTTTCAAAATCCATTAAATTTTGTTAGCAGTGCATTTTTTGGCCATATTCCAAATATATCCTCTCTTTTGTAGAATCATGCTATTTTTGACATGTCCCATCTTTTTCTGTCCAATTCTGATTCTCAAATGACTCACTAGTTTATTTATCATTTTACATTCTCACTAAAGGCCCAAACTAACATAGTTGGTCTCATTATTTCATAATACCGTTATCTTATCCAGCACTATATTATCCCTGACCAAGACTGTCCTTGAACGAAAAACGAAGTTTGGGTAGAGCACAGGAATTTAGATATGGACAGTACAGTACGTTTACGAATTTGTTACTGTTGATCTTTAAATTCCAGTGCATGGCTGGATATATAGAGCAACTTTACTTGAACTTCAATTTTAATTTAAGAATGGGTTCTACGCAAGTCCCTTTAATTAATAAGGACCTAGGTAAACTCAAAACCCAACAAGTACAGTTTAATAACATACCAATGAGTACGATATTGGTTTACAGTCTTTCTAAGGAGACATAAAATCGTTGGTGCAAAGTCCATATGTGTTAAAGATCCCTATCTCTGGTTTTGGAGGGTTTGGCAATATGTATATTTAAAGTGTAACATGTTTATATGTGTCTGTGATAAAACTTTGCAGTTAGAAATATGCGGACATTAAATAAAGATATTAAAAAATATTGTGGAGCATTATTTATGTTTCTTTATTTTGAATTTTATATTTTAACTCAGGATTCACTTTCATATATCGGCATAGGAATAAAGAGTGATATTTATATAATTTAACCTTTGTTGTTTTGCTAAACTCTGACATATGAAAATGGTTTGGTTAGAGATAGCGATCCATAACTGGACAGAAATATAACACCTTATAATAAATTTAATACAATGTACGTTCTGCTACATCTACTAACCTTCAGTCTTTCATCTTTTGATTTGGACCTGTACATTTCTCTATCTTGTGTCACATGTTTTCAAAGCAAACCCATTTCCTTTTTAAATACATTTTCATGACCAATCTAAACATCTCCATACAATCACTTTAGATTATAAGATAAACTAACCTTCATTTAAAAATAAAAAAAAAAAACTTGGCCGGAGAACCACTGCTTAGCTGTTGCAAGATCACAGATGCACACTAATCTGGTGGCTAGCCTCTCGGGCATTGGGGAAGATAAACAAAGGTAAAATAGTAGGTCCTGTAGAGGTTTGGAAAATTGTTGGAGAAAATATACTAAAAATTATCTAATTCCATCTCAGTATGCAGAATCGTGATTTCACATTATTCTAGTTAAGCTGAACTTATGAATGTCATGAGAAGATAAACATTTCGTGGAGAGGATAATGTATCGCCATGGGAGAGTTTTGGAATTCTTAAGAATATATTTGAAGAAATGTGTTGGAAGTGAATAGGTTTATCTGTCTCCTAGTCCCTCATCTGACTGCAAAAAGTGGCATGTCGTGTTTTTTGTTTGCTATTTGTAGTTAGGTGCAGTGGAGGGGGATAAACAACATGTATTATGTCCCAATGGTGGGAGCTGTCGTCTAACCTGTCAAATTCAAATTATGTTTCACATCGATGGAGTTTTTCGTTTTTTGCTGGCAAAATAATTTGCTTCTAGACTCCATCGATGTGAAACATTATTTTGAATTTGACAAGTTAGACGACAGCTTCCACAACCGAGACATAGTACACCTTGTTTACCCCCTCCCCTGTACCTAACTACAAATAACAAGCAAAAAACACGACATACCACTTTTTGCTGTTAAATGAGGGACTGTCCGTGACAGACTCGTTTTCATTTAGCTGGGTTTCTTGGACATTGAGATATTCAATAAAGGCCACTTCCGATTCCTTATTGAGGTAGTCAATCGTTTTGATTTTCATATTTGTTTCATGTGACATACTAAAACTTCATAAGGTACTATTTGCTGATAAAGAAAGGTACAAAAATTATAAGGTTTTCGATATTTCTTGTAACTTGGTTTCAAGTTTTACAGAACTCTAATACGTACCAATATTTCCTATTTCTTATTCTTCAATATTAATATAAATAATGAAAAAAAATTGTGGATTTTATTGTTTAGTTATAACAACGGTTTATTTTTTACTTAATTTCTAACGCTAGGCATATTATTTAATCTGTAATCTTACAGTTGTACACAATTTTTTAATACACATCCATCAAATTTTGTTTAGGGTGAAAACAAAGTGAATCGATAATAACACTATCTAGAATAAAACTTTTCAACGCTAGTATTATTATTCTAAATTGTTAGGAGTGGAGAAATAAAATATAAGGTAAGTCATCCTTAAATAATCAGACAGTGATGATTCATAATAAGACTTTTTTTGTATTTTTTCTTTTTCACTGGAAGTGCTTTGTTTAATAATTTTGGTTAAAACTTCATTTAGATGACTTTTATTTTAGTCATAATTTATTTTTAACACTATTTAGGGTTTATATTATATTTAATTTTATCAATACTAGAAAGACTAGTTTTATTTTATCATTCCTAGACAATGTAGCTTCTAATAAAAAATAACTTATTTCTATTCAAACTTCCTGCAATATTTTGCCCATCTTCTGTAGCTGGCAAAAAATTCGATAACGCATCAAAGAAGCGCTCATTTTGGTTGAGTTTAAATTATTTTTAATAGGATCGTAATTCAAATTGGACAAATACGTTAAATTAGTGAAATTAGAATAAAATAGGTGATTTGAAATAATGCTTCATTTTTTTTGTGACAATTTAAGCTCGTCTACTTTGTCCGTTTTAAGTTTTCACAAATTTCACAAATGTTTTATTTTGTTAGTGATTACCTCAGGTCGTTTATTTTTAATTTTAAGATTGTTTTGTTAGAACGTGTGTGTATTTAACACATAATTTTTATTGTATTGCTTATAACCTAAAATGTTTAGCTAATTAACATTGATTAAGTTATATAAAACATAAGATAACAAAAAATAGGAACTAACTAGATAACAGAAATTGTACTACTGAACAGGAATCGCAATTATATACTATGTTATGTTTTTAATATCTTCACTATTATTGCGATCAACAATGATTATTAAATATGTGTGAACACACACATGCTATCCCCTAAAATGATGCGTTCCTCTCTCTCTCTTTCTTTTCTCTCTTCCCTAGCTTGACCCTCTTTTTTCCAAGAAGCGGGCAGAGTGTACATGTGCCGTATGTCCAAGAGAGTAGTGTCCTTATAGTAGATAAAGAAGACGTTAAAATAACGTATATAATAGCTATTTTTGAAACCAGTTCTGAAAGGACTTATTTTATGTAACGAGTTACGGAGTTACATAAAAATGGCATTTTGTAACGTATTACATGCAATATTTTTTGTAATTTTGACTAGATTATTTATAAAATTGTTTTTTTGATAAAAAATTACTGACATCTAGGCAACCGATATTGCTACTTTCTAATATTAATTTGTTCTCAACGACTTTTAAAGTTATTTAGATTTCAAGAAAGTGGGTTATTTTGTCATGTATTCTGTAAAACATACGTTAAAATTTAGAGGCCTTTAAAAATGTAACTGTTAGCGAACCATTCACTTTTTTACCAAAAATGGTATTCTGTATACACAAATTTTAGAGTCCTGTTAAAAATTATTCATTTTAACAGTCTTTTAAAAATGACAGGGGAACACTTGGCAATATCGCATTTAAGATTCATTTGGACTAATTTTGAAGGATTAGAAAAATAAATTTAAAAACAACCATACAAACGCTCAATTTTCAATTCAAAACATACCTACATACATTTAAAATAAATATGTCTCTCGCACAAAGAACTACTAAAAACCAAAAAAAAGTTGGGAAAACGTTGCAGCCGAATTAAATAAAATTGAGCCCAAACATCCAGGAAAGTTATATTTGTCTGAAATCTGTTTATAATTTTATTTATTTTATTTTCCGAATTAGGAAATAAAATCCAATTGGGTAACAGGTTATTGTTATTCGTATTATTTGTTACTTCTTCTATACCCCAGTATAAGTAATAATACAGTAGATCTTTATATTAATAGATGGGGTTACCACTATCAGCCTGTAAAATTTTTTGTGTTGCAAATTATTTCTTATTTCTGCTATTCACCCTTTGATATAATGCAATGCCTGTTGCGGTATTAGCCAAAGGAGTAGTTGTTTTCAGGAGGAAAATGGTCGGTCGTTGTTTCTGTGACACAGACTTTCAGTTTTTCTCTTTTGTCTTTGTTGTTTTATGTTAATGATGAACAACTACTAGTATCAATTATGTTTACCATTAAGGAAGTACATTTGCATTTTTAATGCCAGTTATTAACAGTTGTTCTGGTTGCAACTGTTGTAGATGATTTTCAGGAAATTACACCATCTCTTTTGCAGAGCAAAGCAGGCATCATAGTCGTACGTGCTGGTTCATTATCCTCTCAATTTAGTAGGGACCTCGCTTTTTCTAATACAGCTGAGGCGACAGCTCTATTTGTCTAATATAAAATACGAATTGAAATCTTGCAAGTAAACAAGAGCTTACTCATGAATGAAAGGATTAGTCTAGTAGTTGTTAGTTGTTGATTCATATAATTCCTGCAAAATGTTGTTAATTATTGCTATTTTTGCAACCAGTTACGAAATGCCTTATTTTATGTAAAGAATGAATATTTGGGAGACGAGCAGAGCTAGGTCCTGCTACATGAACAAGTTACATAAAACAGCATTTTGTAATGTGTTACATACAACATTTTTTCTATTTTTGACTAGATTATTTATAAAATTACATTACTGACATCCAGGCAAACAATATTACTTCCATTTCATTGACAAAACGAAAATCATAATATTTTATTCTCAACGATTTGTAGTGTGTTTATATTGCTTGTTAAAGTTATTTAGTTTTCAAGAAAGTGGATTATTTTGTCGTATATTGTGTTTTAATTATTTTGTGCTGATTTAGAATGGAAAATAAGGATCAAAACATTATTACTAGGTTTTAAGGTTAACGAAATTCTATTTTTGTAAGTCAAATCTATCGTTTGATATAAACTTTCAATAACAATGTATTATTACCAAAAAAGGTTTGTTTTATTTCTTTTCTTTTCGTGACAATCAATTTTTCGTAACTAGTTACATAATGTTCAACATTATGCAACTGGTTGAGTAAAGCATATCATTTTGACACTTTCTGCGATTACAAAAAAATTCACTTTATGTGTTAAAATCAGAAAAATTATAAATCAACGTCTTTTCTAATTCACTTATAACAATATACACACCCACATTTTTAATCACTATTAACTGAAACATGCTGAAACTGATAATCTTTAGGCCAGAAAATTCTGCTAATCGAATTTAATTACTTAAACATCAAAAACAGGGTGGACCACCAGTAAAGCCTCGGTCTGCAGAGTTAAAACTAATTGTTTATGTTTTAAATTATTTAAAAATAATTTCAATTGTACAGATTGCTTAAGGAAAGTGATACATGTTAACGTTAGATTTTGAAATGAAACACTAAATTTTATTGCATTTTAGAAAGCTGTAGAGAAAAATAGTGTAACTTTAAGGGCTATAATAATTCTTGATTTATCCAAGTGTTTCCAAAAAATATAGGATGTTCAAAATATGCAAATATGTCCAAAATGTATTAATATTTTTAAGGCAAATTTAGGTTTTTTAGTCTGTAAGTGCAAATTAATACTGATCAGTAATATTGTAACAAATAAATATTTATTATATGCAGCTTTAAACATTAAAAACTTTGTTAATTTAAATAGAATACCCACATTATTTTAAAATCATTTGAATTATTTTTCAAAACCCTTTCAAACACGGTAAATATTCCTTATGTCTATCTGTAATAGTTTTAGAAAAAATTGCGAAGTTCTTATAATTTATAAAAATAATCAATTTTCACTAACCAAGGTGCCTGAGCATTGGTTATCAGTTTACGTTATTTTAATTTAAACTGTTTTCATTACTATTTTATGTGCATTTATTATTTTATTTATTAGTTACCATTTAGCATCCACTCAATTACTAATATTCATGATATACAGCTTTTTTGATTAAAATATATATTAAAGAAATGTCTTCTGCAAAAAATATAAGAATGCATTATCTCTAAAACAATCACAGATAATTATATGGAATATCTACCTTGTTAGAAAGGATTTTGAAAGATACTTTAAATATTGGAAATATATACTGTGTGTTCTATTTAAAATAACTTAGTTTTAAGTGTTTAAAGCTACGTATAATAAATATCTATTTCGTAAACACAATAGTAAGTACTTGAACTTTCATCACAGAAGATTCTATTTTTACCTTAAAAAATCAATTTAAAATATTAAAAAATTTGGGACATATTTCCTTTTTGTACACTACATTATTTTGAAAACATTTGGATATATCAATCAGTAAACCATGTCCAATCTATTGAAAATGTTGAGCGAAAGTTCTTTAACTATGTATTATATAAAACAGAAGGAGTTTACTCTCCACGGGGTACAGACAATAGTATGATACTCCAAAGATTTGATCTGCTATCTCTTAACAATAGAAGAATGTATTATTCCTGTATATTTTGTTATAAGTTAGTGCATGGCAACATCTCTTGTAACTTAATGTCATCATACCAAGATTTAATTCAAGCACTGAATTGTTTTTATTTACAATTTACAAAAACAAATGTTTATAAAATCTCCTATATTTGCAATGTGTAACAAATTCAATAAATTATGTAATCAGGTTATACTCCACAAATTTTTATAATGTTCATACAAAATTTTATGAATTTTCTTATTAAAAATAAGTAAAAGTTCTGAATATTCTCATTTATGTAAGTTTGAATTAACTATTAAATTGTTATTGTTATAAAGCACTTGTACCCAAATTACATTATATCTTGTAATTGGACCACAGGTCTGTTTGAATAATGAAGATTTTTTTTGATACCCTCTAGGTATAACAAACCATTAACACAGATACACTATTTTTTTTTGAAAGAGATCTCTTAAATAAAAAAATTGTTTTGGCTCTACAGTACAAGGCATTACTGGTGGTCCACCCTGTATGTATTAAAAAATGTGTACTCTAAATACAAATAACATGTGACAGGAACGAACGCATTATTATCAGGGGCATCTTTTATCTGAAAGTTGACAATTCTTTTAGATTAGTGATTAGTTAATCACTTAATCAATGTTCTGTTAGTGGTATAACTTTTTATCTATAAAGAACTTATTTTTTTGTGATTTTCCCTGTATTAATCACATTTTATACCTAATTACTTAATTTAAAAAATTCACCAGGCGAACGAATACGACCGAGAACGAAAAATGTCAACTACCATGTTCTACAAGAAAAACTTCCATTGGCCACCTTCGAAGACGTTACCTGCGACAAAGACACTCAAGAAGCCGTAGAAAACCTTTTAAAGCAAGAAAACGTTATTGTGGAGCCAGAGCACCAATCCATAGACCAACAGCAACACAATAATGGCGTTATCTACATGGACCAGTTTGAACAACCTCCAGACGTTGCATCCGAACAAACTGTGGAAAGCGAAGTTCCTGTACCCATGGCTTTTATTGAAGTTAGGAGGTCGACGAGGTCGAGTACTAGCAGTTCTAACAGTAATAGTTTAAAGCCTGGGAGGCATATCATTGGTCCAGGAAGTAAAGTAAGTAAAAAATAAATACCTTTAAATTTGTACAGGTCCGGTAATGATCCAACGCCATAAATAAGGGAACTGTCGACTTGGCAAATGTAGATATAAACAAAATCCATTTTTGTTTTTGAAAATAATATGTTTTGTTGAAAATGGAACCTATGTATTTTATGTGTACATTTTCGCTTTATCGCCGCTAAATTTAATACTATCAACCATCGCAAAGGTCTTCATTTATTTCTTTTAACTAGTGATTTCCATCTATACATTTAAGCTATACTATTTTCGATCCATCTATTGTTTTTTTTGCAATAATTTAAGTATTTATTGCCCTTTCTTTTCAGGTTTCAATTTATCCTTTTTAGTCATCGTTGATTCTATCATTGTTTTAAAATAATTTAAAAATAAAAATACTTAATAGTTGATTGGTCACTCGACCTTTTCCTTTTTCTTTAGTTATTATGCCACCTTGTTATATGAACTAGCTACCACAGCGAGCTTTGATTTTGCCTACTAAATATAAATGGCGTTACTTTGTGACTTCTGATCCTCACACAACCACTGGCTTTGACTAGCGAGGAAGTATAACCCTTCTACAGGTTTCATTAGAGTTAGGACTCAAGAATGTATTTTACTTGTTGATGAGTCCTAATAAGGACGAAACTGGCACAAGAATGAGGTTCCAGAATACAGAGACTACTTATGAGACAAATAACTATGCTTGAAAATGGTTTCCATTATTCCTATTCAATCGTATATCATGCAGTTTCCTTCTAGTTTCTTTATTTCTCATAAATCGCTCTTTGTCATGCACCGTAAAAGGTGTCTAAAGATATTTCCACAATCGATATTTTGTTTGGAATCAACGATGAAAAACTAATAGACTAATATTGTTTACAAGAATTGCAAACATTCACGGTGTCATCCACATAGTTGTCAAATTATTATGAGAGAATGTGGGATAGTATTGTTTATGGTTATAATTTGGTATTGACTAAACGTAAGGCTTTAAAGCGCACAAAAGGCTTTCAAAATTACATTAGGGAAGTATATTTGTTCTTAATGCCAGTTGTTATCAGTCTAATATATTTTTCTAGTTGCAACTATCATAGTTGTATAGTAGTTATCAGGAAAATACGCAATTAATTTTGAAGTGTGACAGCAGTATAAATTACTATTTTAGCCCATTTGCTGCGATGTGGAGAACACCGCTTCAAATAGATGATTTTAAATGATATGCTTTTGATGACTTTATTAGCATATTCCTTAAATTGTAAATTTGTATCAACTATAACCCCTAGATATTTATATTTTTCGACTCTATGTAACTTTACTCCATCATCACAAATACACTAGGATGTTATATTTAATTTTCTTAAATTTCCAGTACCCCCATTAATTATTTTCGTAATTTATTTTCAACGAGTTACAATAATCATTAATTTTACTTATATAAATAACTATTAATTTCTTTAATACAAGTTTCAGCGTTATCATTGGTAAAATATATCAGGGTATCATCCGCAAACGAGTGTATTGAGCATCTTTCGACTACACCAGGAATATTACTAATATAAATTAAAAATAGCAGCGGACCCAGAACACTACCCTGTGGCACCCTTATATTATTCTCGATAGTATCTGAAACACAGTTACTAACCTTAACCTTCTGTTTCCTATTTTCCATATGATGTCTCAACCAGTCCAGTGCACAACTCCCCAAACCAATAGCTCCTAATTTCATTAATAAATCTACCCCTATTAATAGTCTAAGGGTGAGATTACAGAACGTCTGCAACTTTGCAGATCTGCAAATATGGCGGCAACTTTGAAAATCTGAAAATATGACTGACTTACACATGCAAGTATCAAGTTTTCGTATTCCAAATTTGGGTTTAGGGTTGTTGGGGTAATAAACCACAATAAATATTGCGAATTTGCAGATATTTTTTGGAATACTTGCATTTGTAAGTCCGCCATATTTGCAGATTTGCAAAGTTGCAGACGTTCTGTAATCTCATTTTAAAATGATTTCTGTAAATCTAAAAACACCGCCAGGGTAACAAAATTATTTTCGATTGACAACTTCCAGTCATGCAACATCAACTGTAAAGCAGTTTCACAGTTGTGATTACTACAGAATCCTGATTGTACTACTTTTTGTATTAGTTTTCCAACAGAACTGATCAAATTTATCGGTCTTAAATGGTAAGTCTTACTTGGATTCGAAATTTTTGGTATCGGAATTATTGTAGCAATCTTAATATCGTCCCGAACTAATCTTGTTTCAATAGAAAAATGTATAATACGTAATAGAGGTTGGGATAAACTATCCAAACATTCTTTTAATAAAATTGTGGATATTTTGTCTATATTATTTTTATTTGACATTGAAATTAATATTTCTTTTTATTCATTATAATTAATTAGTTTAAAATTTACAAAAGTTTCAATTTCACTTAGATGAGATATTTGTTGTTTCATATCAAATATAATGGCGGTTAAACATAGTTTCTATAAGCAATACTGAATTATAGGTTAAGAAACGCAGGATATTTGTTTAAAATTCTTTACGTAATAATAATTTAAAGCATTTGGAAAAGTAAGATCTTGACGATTGTCACAAGTATGACTTGCTCTTGTTTGAACTTTTTATTTATATTTCTCATAATACATCTTATTTATACAAAGTGAACCAAAATTGTTATAGAGTTATAGAACATCTAAAAATAAGAGGTGTTTATCTACAACAGCTTATTAAGAGTGGAACAACCTCTTCAAAGGCCTTCATGATACATTTTTTTGAATACCTCATTTAATTGATAGGTAATAAAAATAGTTAAATTGTAAAACAGAAAAATATAAGGTATTGTTGTATATTGTATTTTAGAAATACATCATTTTTTGCCATGATTTAATAAAATAACTGGATACTTAGATTTAAAAAAAATTGTAGTAAAAATTATAGTGTCAAAATGAGCCCATTTAAATTTAGAAGTTGATATCTACAATATAAATATACTGTACAATTGACCCCCAAGACATATAAAATTTAATCATTTAGATTTTTTTATAACTAACATAATTCGGGAAAAATACTAAAATCTTGTAAAGAAATAGTTCACTATAGCTTGAAATTTTCTTCTAGGTAAGGCTAGTCAAAGAAGGTATGATAGTCTCGAAGAAATCAAGAAACAAAAAATCTGAATCCGAAAATGAATTTCCACCAAGCGAAGTAATCCACCACCATAGTCTCATTAAACAGGAAATTATAGATCCTTCTCCACTGCACGAACTCGCCGAAATTTCCATGCAACACGCGAACGCCAATGCGCAGAATCTTTTCAAGTGTGAAATGTGCAGCGAAGTTTTCTCCGATCGAGCGCAACTTCTCGTTCATGTACCCGTACATATTTGATGTTAGTTAAAAAAAAAACACGAAATGAGGTTATGTTGATATTACTGTAGAAGATAAATTATTTTGATATAGTTTTTAATTGTTCGAAAAAAACCACTAATTGTTAATTTTACAGTGCGTTAATGGTTGATGTAACATGTTCTACAACTTGTTGACTGTCGTTGTTTCATATCAAATATCATGGCGGTTAAACATAGTTTCTATAAGCAATACTGAATTATAGGTTAAGAAACGAAGGTTTGAGTTCTATACCCCCATTGACACTATAATTGGAGCCGTTTTAATCCTGCTATTTTTATTTAAAATATAACATGATAGCATTCAATAGTATAATTTTTAATTTCTACCTAGCATAGCTGATTAAAGAATAGTTTATTAATCTCCTCTAAATCTGTTTAATTTATTTAATTGTGATATATAATCCAAAAATGTGAAAATATACAAATTGTTTCATTTAAAATAGTCTTATGTTAAATTACTGTGGATATCCTTAAAATACCACAACACTATCATCAAAATTTAAGTATGATCTCTTCTATTTTTGTAAGTATAAAGTACCCCTCAAAGTCTGCACGTAGAGGCCTTCTCATTGTGACCTTCTCAGATTCACATTGGTATTAATTTTTTTTCCCAAAATTTCTTTCATCTAAGTAACTAAAAAAACCTTCAATATAATAAACTAAAACATTTTGAATGATTGCTATTGTAAACAGTAATGTAATATTTTATAGGCTTCAACTTTAAAGAGTTCTAGTGCCTTTAGTAACTTTCGTTTTTGAACTTTAAAATGGCTATCTAATAGACACACTGAACTGTATATTAAATTGGAAGAACAAAGTCGATCAACAAAATTAAGCCGCATAGCGAGGTGATATTTGACACTTTGGCGCCCACATGTGCGTATCGAAATGCACTAAAAAGGATCATTAAAATTAAATTTAACACTTATTACATTCAACTATGACACCTTTTAATTTAAAAAAAAAATCACTTAGAAATGATTTTTGATTCATACGCAGCTGAAACAAATGTTCCAATAATAATAATAATTATTAAAATAGCGCATTATTAATAAAAATTAATATAATTAGCCGTAGTACGCCCGTGGAAAACGTGACGTAGAATGCTCGAAATTGGCAGTCTGACGTCCAAATTGTCATGCGCACTGACCTTTTTTTTTTCACCCATGTCAGCTTAAAAATTAGAAGTAGGGTTTATGTCATATAGCCATCCAGTTTAATATCAAGGTCGGTGAATAGACATGGTTAGTGTTACGTCACGATTTAAGCAACTGATATTACTATTGTCATAGAAATACTTCTGCTTTTAAATTAATACTTATTAACCAAAAGAAAACAGTGTTGACTTATTTTATGGATTCAAGTACTTTTAATGTGGCCGTAATCTCTGAACATGTAAAATTAATTTCATCTTGGTAACAGCAATAGCTCATATGTCAGAAAAAGTTTTAAGTCAAGCAATTTGTCCTATATCAATTTTGCTCAATAAGCAAAAATTTTTGAATGTAACATATCAGCTTTCTTCAGTAGTATATTAATTATTGTTTAAGGCCTGAGCAATATTCGTTCTTTTAATTACATGCACAAGTTATGCATTTTTTTATTCCTCCTGAAAACTTTCCAAAATATGATTTACAACGTATTGCTGTTACCAGGACTATTTGTATTATTATTAATTAAATGAATGAAGCCTTGTTCTTTCTAAAGACATAAGAGCTGTAATTAAGGCAAAACGCATGGTGAAATTGACAGATGACAGTTAAATATAAGCTAATCTCTTCGATCAATAATAATACTCTCCCTAATTCACCCCCTTAGGAATGAATTTTACCCCCAAAAGCTGAACGTGCCTGGGGAAGGGACGTCTATTATTATTATTTTCCGTGGCGCTCCGGGGCGACTTAAAGATGATTGATGGTGCCATTTGACTTACAGGTGAGGAAAACCCCATATACTATCATTGAAACGTTAACGCGTGGCGATTTTTGTAATCTGGATGTCATATAAACAGATATTAAATTTCTGCTAATACGACATCCACACCTACGCCACCGAGCCGACTAACGTTATGCTTCTTTACCCATATCGGATGCATCAAAGATGCGATTTTTTGATTACATGATTAGAATTAAATTCAAATGTAGATGTAATAATAATATTCAAACGCTCTTGACAAAGTGGTCTCGTGGTAAAAATGACAGTGAAAGTTACTGATCATCGAGTTCGATAGACGAATTCAAGGGCATGGAGTAGAGTTCGATAGATTAATTCAATAAAAAAATAATATCCAATTTGACAATCCCTCCACAATTAATATCTAATTTCAAATCCAGACGTAAAAAATGTCTAATTAAATATCTCTGCGTATGTCAATAATAATCTCGAATAGACAAACACAAATGCAGATGGAGGGAATGATTGTATCCGATGTGAATAAACGCTCGAAAGGTAAAAAATGCATTGAATGTGGACAAATAAACGTAGAGCTTTATTTGGAGGGTTCAGATGTCAATCAGTGTAAGTCAGTTACCTAAACAAAAATGAATCTTTAGAGTAACACAAATAAATACAAAATGATTATAAGAATTTTTTATTAAAAAATGATACAAGTTATTTTCTTGGAGATATAAAAAATCTAAATTGAAATAGTTTAAAAAATAACTTTTAACACAAAAACTGAGACGTCATTTTCAACAAAACTAGGTCTGATTGGCTTCTGAACTCTCCATTTACATGTCAATATCGAGTTTAAGTACAAACAGGCGAATATTTGAATAGATATAACATATGGTTTAATGCAAATAACCCATAACTGCAAACGCATAAATTTTACAGGAACCTAAAAACAAAATATATTGTTTTCATTTGAGATCGTTAAGATAGGTTAGATTTGAAAGGAGTTGGACATTATTTGTTCTTGTCCATCGTGACCTTTTCAGAGCTTGCCCTTTCTTATTAGACTTAATAGCTTTGACAGTGGCTCCCGCATGTAGTTATATGTGTATGGTTTTTCTTCACCTAGTGTTATAAACCTCAGTCTAGCCAGGCCTACACACTGGCACAGGAAGTGGATTGATGTTTCCTGTTTCTTCACAGAACCCACACAATGTTGTTTCTTGTGCTGGATGGATGCTACTGATGTGCCTTCTTAGGCGACAGTGTTCAGTAAGAAGATCTATTGTTATCCTAATAATGTCTTTCTTCGATAGGTCTTTCGTGAACTTGGCAGGTGGTTCTTTAAAGAACTCTTGCTTGATGGATGCCTTGCACAATGCTTTAGCACCGCCGCAGAAGGGTTCGGTCCTGTCGTGGCCTTATCTGAGCCTTCTTAAGCTAGTTTGTCGGCCTTTTTATTGCCCTGATATCCTTCGTGGGTACCAGTCACTTTGTTTTGACTACTTAGCGCTGTCAGATCTTCTAGGAAGTCTTTCATCAGTCGTGATTTGATTTCTGGTAAGAAAATTGGCATATTGGTTAATTTAATTATTAAATAATTAGTAGATACAGGATATTTGCAAAGAATTATTGTCAAACTAGTCAAAATATGATTGGGAATTTACACCTTTCAATGAAAATCAGGATTTCGTAAATTTTGTAGAAATGGGTTACATTATCATTAAGACATTGACATTTTATCAACATAATGTAGATGATGTCATTATTTTAACCAAAAGTAATATAACATTATACGTTAGTTCAGTCATTTTGGTTTCACAGACATTTAATTCTATTTCTGGTGTGTGTAATGCTTGGTGGCTACCCCCAAGCGAGAAAAGTTAATTTCCTCTGTTGTATTGTCAAAAACTAACACCGAAACCCTCCTAAGTACCGAAAACCAACACAACTGAAAATAGTCATATATTTGAAAAAAGAAAATTGGGATTGCTAATTGCTGAGAGCAAGACCTTAGCTTTCCCTGCACTTACAAAGCTGGGTGAATTGTCCCGAAGGACATTGCCCATAAAAGGAACAGAAGAAGAAGACATTTAATTCTAACCAAAATTTTAACAAAAACATTAAATTTGACATACGTTTTTACTGTTTTTAGTTTATTTCTAAATATAGTTTACAGGTCATAAAAAATAGTTTAAAGGTATGTAATTGGTAACTAAAAGATTGTATATTTGCTTCATGTTATCTACTTACTTTAGGAATATATTTATAAAAGTTAAAAAACGATAATATAATTTAGGTAAACAAAACGCACTCAAAAAATCTACTGTCACTTTAATTGTCAGTGGAACCATAATTACATCATCACTGAACTAGCGTATTACAAGTGAATTTTAACCTCAGGCAGAGCGTAAGGGGTAGAGACGGATATTATTATTTGCTGTGACGCTGCGGGGCGACTTACGGATAGTTACTGGTGCCATTTGACTTAAAGGCGAGGAAAACCCAGATTACTCTGGACGTAGTATCAACAGAACTTATATTACTGTTAGTTAATACGCTATCCATCAAATCCTACAACGAACCATGCAAATTAATAAAAAAAAAATCACATTGTTTTACTCTTTGAATTAAACCTATACGGCGATTGTCAGTAATTTGATACACGCACGCTCAACACTGAGCCGCCGCTCGGTTGATTTGAGATTAATATAAATGTATTAATAATTCTTAGGAATGAAAAAATTAATCTTTGCTTTTTTTTGATACAAGGCGAATAAGGTTCTTACATGATAGATGTAATCCTGATTTACTTGTAATAGTAGCAATGTTGGTTGTCTATATCGTGACAGCGGAATTAAAGTGTCTATTCCATATCTTATAATGTACTGTATAACTAATCACATGATCTCGAGACTAGAGTAACATTTGTTACCTAACAAATTATTATTTTGCTGATTTAAAAGAATACGTTCTCTGTAAAAACAAGTAGTAGTGCCATTTTTTATATTAGTGGTTTTTATCATTAAAATTAAAAACCTCAAATTAAGTGTGTACTTTGTGATACAGAAAATATAGATTTTTTTTAAATTTATTTTTTCATATAAACGGATTCTTATTTTCTTTATGATAAAGTATATTTCAATCACAGTTTATTTTATAGTATTATTATATGATTGGAATCTTATTTTTAGAGATTAAATAGTTTCTTATATCATGTTACATTATTTTTTAAATAATGTCTTTGTTAAAAGCTTTTTAATTTATTTTGTTTATATGTTTTGTAGTATTTATTTTAAAATAATCAGACTGAAAAAAAAAATATTAAAAACTAAGTGAAGTTTATTTGTATATATTTATTGTTGGTATAAATATACTTTACGAACTTTATTCAATAATAAGGATTCCAATCTGACTTTTTAGTGTATAGAGAGAAATATGTAATTTAAATTTGCTTCTGTTTTCTGTATTTCAAATTTAAACGCAAATTTAAAATTTTGATAAAACATTAAAAGAATTTAATTAGAATTCACTCACCTTAATAATATTGTGATTTTTCGAGAAACCGGTTTTTTAATGATATAAAGTGGATGATTCTGGAAATTTTAGGCAGGACTAAAAGGTATGCACTACCATTGTTTAGTTTATTTCCAAATTTAATCATTTCTTTGCTTCACATGGGTTACATTTTTAAGTACATATTCATATATTTTATATTCTAATTGTACGAACTGATTCAAATACGTTTTCGATTATTCAGAACTTGTGAGTTATTTTGAGACGTACACTATAGAATTCCAAGATATTTATATCTCTCTATACTACAAACTTCATAAATTCTACTTTTATCAATCTATAAATAATTTTGACTTTTGAATTACCTGATAATTTTTTTCACACAAATTTTAACAATTTAAAATTACAAACGGCATAAGAGAAAATTCTAACGTTTAAGATATTTTCTTTGCTATAGTTAATATACTTTAGATTAGAATGATGTGTACTATTTTGATTTTGGAACACTTATAGAAAACCGTCTTTGAATAAACTTTGTATCACCTGTTTCTCGAAAAAAATTGAATATGGGTTGTGACTAACGTACTTTTTTGCTTAGATAGAATAATCAATCTGTATAAAATTAATTTTCGTGGAAATAATTCTATATATTATACCTAAAATTAACTTAATAAATTATCAAATTCACTCACAAGTATGATTATCATTATTATAAATATGTTAAACAATTGTATTGTATACATGAAACTTCACTGTTGGACCTATAGTAATTACTCCCACATTTAATATTAAAATTTGTGAATAACCACACATACACAGACCTTTATATACATCTTAGAATACAACTGAATAATAAAATTGCGTGGTTGGATTTTTACCCTATTGGGTACCATTATAATACATGAACCAGTATATTTGTTTTATTGCTATTTGTTTAAAGACATCCGAATACATCTTGCAGGAGTATATATTTATTTTCATGTTTTATTGTTCAATTTATCGAATAACTGTTTAAGGTTAATTCATTAATTCTTGTAATTTACTTCCATGAATTCATTTTTTTTTAATAGTTTTTATCTATTATTTTTGATTCACCGAATTATTTAAAATTATTTTTTTTGTTTTATCCAGACTTGCCTAGCTATTGTTAATGTTTTCATCTATTCCGTCAAGTTCGCCTTATGAATGAACGTTAGTTATATCTATAATTTTTATCCTAAAGTCCTTACAGTTATTTCCATCATTAAACCCCCAATTATTTTTAACTGTTAATTTCCCTACTAAGTACGGTACACCAAGAAAGACAGGACTTTTGTGAAAATGTTTTTGTTTTACGTCTTTTGAGACATTTACAAAGATGTCTTAACTTACCGTCCTTGAGGCCTACTTGTAACTTGTAGGTTTGTATCTAGAGATAAGCACTTCATGTTCTAAATCAAATGTATTTCTCTAAATAAATCAATCGATTCTTCCACTTTTTTGGTTTTGCTGGGTACTAAATTCGTCATTATCTGTCTTGTTAGTTCTACTTTCCTCGTTTCCAATTCTTGAAACTTGTTTTTAGCTTGTTTTTACTTTGTTTTAATCATCCAATTTTCAACATTCTACCAACTACAATATTCATTCATCTTCAATTAAATATCTTTGTACTTGAATTAATTCCTTTATTGACAACTTTCTTTTTGTATTATATTTCATAAGACGACCAATTTTTTTTCTCTTGCTGGCGCTTACCTTCAAAAATTGTATTTACCTTTAACTTTCAGTCAGTTAATCTGAATAGTATGTGTGCTAGACAAGTAACACATCTGCAAAATGGTCCTTTTTGAGTTAAAAAATAAAATATGTTAAAGGTAGCATCCATTTTAATCAGGTAACATAGTTCATGGTATTAGGCATTCCAACGACCTGTCAAACAATAGCTGCTCGTAAATCTAGGGGGTTGCGATATAGCCGTCTATTTTATTTGAAATAGTTGTCGCCAAGCCTGCCAATTTATCGAACATGTATAAGCGGTTTTTTCAAAAATAATATTTTCATTGTGTTCCACGTAAATATTTAAATTTAATCCATTATTTATGATTTCACGTATTAGAGACACCAAACCTTAGCATCGCGTTTCATTTGTTTGGAATGCCTAATAACAGCTTGAAAGCTAAGTTTAAATTGTTTTAAACTGCAAATTTTCCAAATCTTAGAACATTTTTTTCAATCTTATGTAGTGTGGAATCTGCAAAGAAGGACCAAGCTTTGTAAAATCTTATGCATTTGATACCGATATGCTGTTCATGTATAAATAGGGAAAATGGGAGAGATAACATAGTGAGAAATATGATTGATTAATTAATTTGATTAAATATTTGAAAATATCTTAAAACAAATATACAGAATTACTCAATAATGTAAAATGCATGCTCTCATGTAAAAGCTTTCAAGTTTAACGACTTTACGTCAGAGTAATATTTCCGGACTTTTCAGCAATCTCATATATTTTCCTATCAAAATTTTAAACCATACTTTAATATGAAAACTTGTTCTATTAATTGTTAACTGCACTCCGAATTAAGTAAGACGCCTCTCTTTCAGTCGAAAACAGGGTAGCCCAAAATTCCAGTAAATAAATAATTTGTGGTTTATACCATAAATGATTTCCGAATTTTTATGATACCCTGTTTAAAATGTATATTTGTAACGTTATATATATTATATAAATATTTTATATATTTTAGTTGTAGAGTACTGGTAGAGAGCGCCTCATCTATATTTTTATATAATTTATCTTATTTCTCCAAAAGGAATAAGAATGTTTAGAGAGAAGTTTTATTAATGTCACAGTGTTATTTTACTTTATGTTAAAGTAAAATTCAGAGACGTTTTTCTTCTTAAAATAAAAATATTTTATTGGAAATACATATATAATCTGTACATACTTGTAGGTTTTGAGGCGAAGTAGCTTATATATTTTATGTGCCTCTTTTTTTCTGTAAGTTGATGGAAATAAATATTGTTTAGGTACAATATTTTTTTTATTTTCTGTACTCCTCAAACATATTTATACAGTGCTTACTTAAGAGGAGTATTTACTTGGCTTTAGAGCAGAGCATGCAAGGGTTTCGTAGTACCCCACTTTTAAAGTTTATTTTTGACATATTTTGAAAGAAAAAAATATGTGCGTGTAGGTAAAGGTTAAATCTGTGCTCCTCTGGAAACATTTTTTCAAAATTTCATTCTGTTTTTTTCTAAAAAAAAACACAAAACTCGACTTTGTTGATCCATTTTCTCAATCTTTTTAGAAAAAACTAAATTGAATTTTGAAAAAGTGGTTCCAGAGGAGCATAGATTTAACCTTTATCTACACATACATATTTTTTTCTTTTAAAAATACTCAAAAATAAACTTTAAAAGTGGGGTACTACGAAACCCTTACATTGCAAGATTTTTCGTCTGGCAAGTGGCGCCTCTGTTAGATTTTTAAGAAATTAATATTTGTGAATGAAAACAATTTACAAAATATTTTACTGATGTTTTACGAGGGATAATTAAAGTTTACGTATTTGTAGGTACACATTATTGTTTTACGTAAATCATTTCTGTAATACTAATATAGACATATTTATATAATATGCAATGGGTTTCATAGTACACCAATTTTACGGATTATTTTTTAAAAAATTATGTAAGTACAGATAAATGAGTCACTTTTTGAACATTTGAATCGGTTTATTTTGAGAAAATGTAAGAAGATATCTTTCTATCGAAAAAAATACAAATAAAAATGCTAGAAGGGAACAATATATGTTTTTAATGTTTACAGGAACATTTATTTTTCTCAATAAAAATTAAAAAAATACGTTAAAAGCTTTTTCGTCTAGAGGGCGACACCAACAAAATGTATAACGTTTTCTACTGTTTACAAGTGATAAACGTACGCAAGTGATTTGAATTTATTTTGTTTTATGTCTACACTTTATTATTTTTACATACAGTAATTTCGCTCAATTATTTTAAATTAATTTTATCATTTGTTTATTAAAAAAATATATCCGAAATTAAAAGGTATACATTGAGATTTGAATTATAAATTAACTTTTATATTGCGCGGGATTTTTTTTTTTAATGAATACATCTTCGAGTTAAGAAAAATGAATTCCAGCATGTTAACAACTCTTTAAGCTGTTAAAGTAATGTATATTTTTTCGAACTTACTAAATCATTTTTGCTTTCGAGCGTGGCTTTGATCTCTCACACTCTTTGATGCGCGTTGCAAAAGAAGATTTTCTAAAAAGTTTGATAATGTCTATACATGAGAAAAAAAAATGAATGTGACAAGAGATCAAGCTGATTGTGGATTGTAGCAAAATGAAAGACGAAAACGAGTCACTCGAGTCACTGTTTCAAAATTTGGAGACATTTGTAAAAAAAGTAAAGGCATTTTTTAAACAATCTCATAAAATCTTTTATTTTTTGCTATAGCCTTTTAATATGACATGGACAATAAATCAAGAGCAAAATAAGATTTGGAAATTTATTTGCAAGAAAAAGTTTTTATATGTGGACTTTTATTGGTTCCGAATTTGATTATGTTGCTGCCAGTCCAGATGGAATTTAAAACAAAAAACTCTATGATAGAGTTAA